GAGAACAAGTCCCGTAAGACTCCGGGTCGAAAGTGTTGTCAACCCAACAAGTAGCACAATGGAGGCAAAACCGGTGAACGTAACCCTGTGACAAGGGCAACGAACAAAGCGAGATAGGACACGGAGGACACGTCTATTGGTCAACCAAGCCCCAAGGGGGTTTCTAGGGCCCGTAGGGAAAAGTGTCCCTACGGGAAGCCCAAGCACTGGAACTGCCAAAGCCGATTGAAACCCAGTTAGTAGACTGGGTAAACTGGCCCCTGTGAGGTGAGCAGTCTCGGTGGCTGAGAAGAGGACCGCACTATGGAACCTAGGCGTATCTAACAGGAAACCAGACAGCCCTCCACCAGGCAATGAAAGAAACTAAAATGTGGAAAAGAACCCCGAGGAAGCTCCGCAACAACTGGAGGCCAGAGAGAGGCACGGCCGCTGCTGTTATGCAAGCTGTGCAGTCTAATGTGACACAACCAATAACAACCACTCCCTACCCAGGATCAAAGAAAAGAACCAAGACCTAGGCTGACCCCAAGGGCATGGCAGAAGCCAAGCGACCACTACCTCTACGGGAGTAAGAACCCGAAGGTCCCAGGGAAGATAACCATGAAACCCAGGGGGTGTACTTATAGGGTAATTAGGGAAGGAGGCCCCCTAAGCACATGATGCCCTGGGTACTGGAACTCCTGGACAACGCACCACTGCACAGGTGAAAATCCTGTCAGGCAACCGCGACCAGAGTAGAAATCCACCCCAATCGGCTTCAGTCGGCTTGAATGAACGGCTCGTTGGGTTGATGACTATTTGTTCGTTTGTTTTCTTCAGAGGAGTTTTTGGCCTCTTTTTCGGTCTCCAGTTAAAATTTTCTAATAGTTGGGGTCTGTTTTGGGATGCCTACCTTTCTGGGTGTCCAACCCTGGTCAATGGCAGACAAATATACTTTCAAAGAGTGAAGTTTTCATAGGCCATTGCTCCCTGCGCCTCTCTGAGGGAACCATGTTCTGGCTAGTAGTTCCCAGTAGGAATGACAACTCCGTATCTCCATATAATTGAAGCCCCAATATAGCTAATGTAAGTTAGCTAGATATTAACCAATATAGCTAGCTTAATACTTTATAGCTAATATCAGTTCAATAGCAATAGGGAGCTGATCGGGCTCCCCACAGAAAATATCTGCAACTCAATAGACTACTACTACAACTGAAGCACACAGAAATTACAGAAGTTGCACCACACACCAAGGGTAAACAAATGACAGTCTGCCAGCCAGGGGTGACTCTGAACGTTGTAACGCACTCAAAAAGGGAAAGAAGAAGCAGATTCAAAAGAGGCCAGGTCCATGACAGAGGCATAAGATGAGGTCACACAGGAGCTATGCACAAAAGACCTCCTGAACTGCTGCCAGAGTAACTCAAAAGGTAGGAAACCTCAGGAAGGATGAAACCAAAGAACCCACAGGCACTCTGAAATGAACCTTGGTCAAGAGCAGCACCCAAATCGAACTCATACATTGGGGGGGGAGGGGAATAAGAAAATCCCCATCCCCTGCAACAAAAGACCCTCTACAGAAGACACCAAAGCCCGTGAATAGTCAAACTAAACCCAACTCTGACTCCCCCAAGCCCTGGGAACCGCAGAAGAGTGCTCCGGAGCAGAACCATTGTCCACGCCCACCACCCTGGATAGAAAAGCGAAGTCCTAGGGAGAGGCCTCAGAAGAGGGGGCACGGCCAGAAAGACCCAGAAACCTTGACGGGAACAGTTGGCTCAACTACCTTTGCACCTAAGTCGAAAGGGGCAAACCCTGGATCTGCCCAAGCCGCATCTTGAGTTATACCATGCCCCAACTCTGAATCCCTCAGATGCTTCAGGACCATAAGCAGGAAGGGGGGAAAGGGGTAGAGGAGAAGGACACCCACACCTGTCAGGAAAGGAAGAGGAGGTGCAGACAAAACCACAGGGGAGGGTAAATCAGGATTTACCCTCCCTGATTTACCCTCAGGAAGGGCAAATCTTGCCTTACAGGCTTCATAGAATTCTACGATCAGGTGACAAAGATTAAGCAAGAAAGAGAAGGATGGGCGGACTGCATTTTTTTGGACTATCGAAAAGCCTTTGACACAGTACCCCATAAAAGGTTGATGCATAAGCTGGAGAAACAGGCAGGAGTAACTGGTAGGGCACTCCAGTGGATAAGGGAGTACCTAAACAATAGGAAGCAGAGAATTACAGTGAGGGGTGAGACCTCAGAATGGCGTGAAGTCACCAGTGGAGTCCCACAGGGATCTGTACTTCGACCTATCCTGTTTCTGATATATGTAAATGATCTCCCAGAGGGTATAGACTCATTCCTCTCAATGTTTGCTGACGATGCCAAAATTATGAGAAGGATTAAGAAAGAGGAGGACAGCTTGAGGCTTCAAGAAGACCTGGACAAGCTGCAGGAATGGTCGAACAAATGGCTGTTAGAGTTTAACCTAAGCAAATGTAATGTAATGAAGATAGGGGTAGGAAGCAGGAGACCAGATACAAGGTATCATTTGGCAGATGAAATGCTTCAAGAGTCAGAGAGAAAGACCTGGGGGTTGATATCACGCCAGACCTGTCCCCTGAAGCTCATATCAAGAGGATAACATCAGCAGCATATGTCAGGTTGGCTAACATAAAAACAGCCTTTAGAAACTTGTGTAAGGAATCTTTCAGAACATTATATACCACATATGTCAGACCAATCCTGGAGTATGCAGCTCCAGCATGGAGTCCATATCTAGTCAAGCATAAGACTAAACTGGAAAAGGTTCAAAGGTTTCCCACCAGACTAGTACCCGAGCTCAGAGGTATGAGCTACGAGGAGAGACTACGGGAATTAAACCTCACTTCGTTGGAAGACAGAAGAGTTAGGGGGGACATGATCACCACATTCAAGATTCTCAAGGGAATCGACAGGGTTGATAAAGACAGGCTATTTAACACAAGGGGCACACGCACTAGGGGCCACAGGTGGAAACTGAGTGCCCAAATGAGCCACAGAGATATTAGAAAGAACTTTTTTAGTGTCAGAGTGGTTGACAAATGGAATGCATTAGGAAGTGATGTGGTGGAAGCCGACTCCATACACAGTTTCAGGTGTAGATATGATAGAGCCCAATAGGCTCAGGAACCTGTACACCTGTTGATTGACGGTTGAGAGGCGGGACCAAAGAGCCAGAGCTCAACCCTCGCAAGCACAACTAGGTGAGTACAACTAGGTGAGTACAGGTGAGTTAACCAACACCTCCAAACCCAAGTCCCTACAAACCACGCAGGGCAAATCCAGGCCATTCAACTAAGCATACAACCAGGACTGCTGCAACTCAGAAAACCATAAACATTAAGCAGTCACTGCCAGATACCTTTGAACATCATTAGGAGGGTGGGGTAAAGAGAGCAATATACTGGGGACAAGTCCCACACGACTCAGGGTTGAAGGTGTCACCATCCCAACGGGCAGCATGGCGGAGGCAGAACGTATGAATGTCGCATAGTATCATAGATGACGCCCAACCCTTGAATTCGCACAAAGCAAGAGCGGGCCCAGCATAAGTATCCACTGTACCACAGAGCCTGAAGAGGTTTTGTAGGGCCTGCAGGTTGTGTTCCCTGCAGGTATGACCAGGCACTGGGAATGCAATACCGGTAACCCTATAAAGTTTAATAGGCACCATACTCCAGTGGAAAAGGCAGGTCAGAAACAAAAAGGGGATCACACGCACCCAAACACTAGGTAAAACCTAACCAGAGTGGCACAAAAAACTCCTAAATGAAAAAGGAACTATTTTCACATATTTTTGATTGTTTACATTGTTGGAGAAGTTCTTTTGGGTATTTTGAGGCTGCAGTCTAGTTTCTAACCAAGCAGTGGTCTATTTTTTATTTTTTTGCTGATCTTCTGGGCACCTTCTCTTGGTGGTGGCAGACATGACTAAACTTACATAAAAATTTTCAAATGTGCCACTATTCTCTGTGCCTCTCTGAGGGGGGGGGGGGGGAGGGGCAGGTTCGGGCTTGTGATCTATGGTAGGCCAATAAGAACTCCACTACTGATGGCACCTTGTAGTCTGGCTCTGAATCCGTATAGTAGCTTCAGGGAACCACAACCCCCTCCCCCACCCAGAAAGAAAATGTGAAACTAAAAGGTTTAGACAATCAAGCTTCAAATAATTGGCCTGGATACTAGGCATGCCTAAAAAGGATTATAACTAAACAAGTTACTGTATCTTCATTCTAACACACAATTATTCTTAAAACCTTTTTTTAAATAATGGCAGGCCAAAAATGCTTACTAAATCAAAAACAAATATACTAAACATAAATTGTACAAAACCATGGGATAGCTAGGATATTGTTATACATATATAAAAAAATCACACACAAGTAATTAACCCTCAAAGTGCAGCTATCGACATGTTTTGACTGTCTAGCGCAGCACGGTTTTTCTCACACAAACATCAACATTTTGAGCCAGAGTTCTAATACCAATTTTTCCCTATGCTGCCAACAGTTGAACAGTGTCCCCTACAGTCACGGGAGACCACTATAATTTGCAGTCACACACCCTTCAGCTTCTGGACCTCTTTCAACATATTTTGATGACTGCACTTATCTAGCCAACATAAAGAATTTTACTGTATATTTACTCTGGCATTCTTTTTACTTTAGCAAAGATATTTCTTATTTTGCAAATGAATTATAATTTTGTTTTCCTTTGTCCTGGCTCACAACATAAACCTGACAAATGCCAGTAGAATGTTGATGCCATGCCATGCCATGCCATGCCACGCCACGCCATGCCATGCCAAAATAAGGAAGATGTACAATATTTTGTGAATCATCCATCCTCTTGATTACAGACCTACCATTTCATAAGGTAGAAATAAATGCAATAAGGATTGTTTTTCTTCATTGAGTCGGGAGTGACAATTTAGATGATAGCTGCACTTGGAGGGTAAAAAGATTTAGTCAGGTTACCTTGTATCCAAATGGTGCTCCAAAAACTCCACTCCATGAAGCAAAAAGGTAAAAGAGGCCTTTTCGCAGATTTCGAGGAATTAGCATCTGCCTTTGTTCCACTGTTGTGAAGAAAAGACATTATATTGATAAAAATTGACCTTTAAAGACACAAACAGTTAACTATTCAACACAGTATTGTATAGTAATGTGCAAAAAAAAAAAAAAAAAAAAGAGAGAGAGAGCCTTTAAGTGCATTGCACTGAGCAGGACATTTCACAGCTACCAAAATTATCATCCTTTCTGACCCCATGGATAAGATCATGCACAATTATGGCAAGCCAATTTCTGTATCCATAGAGCAACAACTACTTTAACATTTTTGTTGCAGAAAGAGTTTGCAGTCGTCCAGAAGGCTCTCACACAACTCTGCGAAGAGCAACCCGATCCACGTACAGTGGTGACCTAGGTAACAACATTTACACATACTACTGTATGTGTATTGCCCAGATGAGGCAGGGATTGAGTGATGGAGGGATAGTGTGAAGGATGGACAGATGGAGAGAGAGGGCATGAGGGATGGAGTGGGGGATGCATGGATGGGGTCTGCAGGCCGCTCCAAGCACAACCTGGTGGACCAAACTCTCACAAGTCAAGCCTGGCCTCGGGCCGAGCTTGGGCAGTAAAACAACTCCCAGAACACCATCATGCAGGTATCAGGAAAAGGGAACTATCAGGAGAGAGTGCCAAGCCATGACAACTATATAACACTGGGAAGGGATCACGAAAAGGATTTGGAATAGGACGGGGGGAAAGGAATGGTGCCCAACCACTTGTGGACGGTCAGGGATTGAACGCCGACCTGCATGAAGTGAGACTCGCTCTACCGACCAGCCCAAGTGGTTGGGCAGAACCGGGTATCAAGCAGGGGGATGGATGGAAGGAGTAGGGGATAGATGGATGGAGTAAGGGAAGGATGGAGTGAGGGAAGGCTGGAGTGAGAAGGCTGGAGTGAGAAGGATGGAGTGAGACAAGGATGGAGTGAGGAGGATGGAGTGAGAGAAGGATGAAGTGAGGAGGATGGAGTGAGGGAAGGATGAAGTGACAAGGATGGAGTGAGGGAAGGATGGAGTGAGAGAAGGATGGAGTGAGGGAAGGATGGAGTGAGGGAAGGATGGAGTGAGGGAAGGATGGAGTGAGGGAAGGATGGAGTGAGGGAAGGATGAAGTGACAAGGATGGAGTGAGAGAAGGATGGAGTGAGGAGGATGGAGTGAGGAGGATGGAGTGAGATAAGGATGGAGTGAGAGAAGGATGGAGTGAGGAGGATGGAATGAGATAAGGATGAAGTGACAAGGATGGAGTGAGAGAAGGATGGAGTGAGAGAAGGATGGAGTGAGGAGGATGGAATGAGATAAGGATGAAGTGACAAGGATGGAGTGAGAGAAGGATGGAGTGAGGAGGATGGAGTGAGGGAAGGATGAAGTGACAAGGATGGAGTGAGGGAAGGATGGAGTGAGAGAAGGATGGAGTGAGGGAAGGATGGAGTGAGAGAAGGATGGAGTGAGGGAAGGATGGAGTGAGGGAAGGATGAAGTGACAAGGATGGAGTGAGGGAAGGATGGAGTGAGAGAAGGATGGAGTGAGGAGGATGGAGTGAGGGAAGGATGAAGTGACAAGGATGGAGTGAGGGAAGGATAGAGTGAGAGAAGGATGGAGTGAGGAGGATGGAGTGAGGGAAGGATGAAGTGACAAGGATGGAGTGAGGGAAGGATGAAGTGACAAGGATGGAGTGAGGGAAGGATGGAGTGAGGGAAGGATGGAGTGAGAGAAGGATGGAGTGAGGAGGACGGAGTGAGGGAAGGATGAAGTGACAAGGATGGAGTGAGGGAAGGATGGAGTGAGGAGGATGGAGTGAGGGAAGGATGGAGTGAGAGAAGGATGGAGTGAGAAGGATGGAGTGAGGGAAAGATGGAGTGAGAGAAGGATGGAGTGAGAGAAGGATGGAGTGAGGAGGATGGAGTGAGGGAAGGATGAAGTGACAAGGATGGAGTGAGTGAAGGATTGAGTGAGAGAAGGATGGAGTGAGGAGGACGGAGTGAGGGAAGGATGAAGTGACAAGGATGGAGTGAGGGAAGGATGGAGTGAGGAGGATGGAGTGAGGGATGAAGGGGGGGATAAAACATAAGAATCAAGATAACTGCAGAAGGCCTATTAAGCCATATAAGGCAGCTCCTATTAATACCCACCCAATCCCATTCATATATAATGAGACTAACCTATGTTTGAAACATATGCTAAGCTATGCTATCATACTAAGCTATGCTATCATACTAACCTATGCTATCATGACTAACCTATGTTTGAAACATATGCTAACCTATGCTATCATGACTAACCTATGTTTGAAACATATGCTAAGCTATGCTATCACGACTAACCTATGTTTGAAACATATGCTAAGCTATGCTATCACGACTAACCTATGTTTGAAACATATGCTAAGCTATGCTATCACGACTAACCTATGTTTGAAACATATGCTAACCTATGCTATCACGACTAACCTATGTTTGAAACATATGCTAAGCTATGCTATCACGACTAACCTATGTTTGAAACATATGCTAACCTATGCTATCACGACTAACCTATGTTTGAAACATATGCTAAGCTATGCTATCACGACTAACCTATGTTTGAAACATATGCTAACCTATGCTATCACGACTAACCTATGTTTGAAACATCAAGAACATACATGTGAATGAAGGTAACTCCAGCAAGCCTATTGGCCCAAATGAGAAAGGATCCTACTTCTATTACATTATGCGGTAATTGGTTTCACAAATCAACAACCCTGTTATCGAACTAGTATTTAGGTAACTCATCAACCAGTAACTCATCATACAGACAGGCTATCAGGCTAGACATACAGAGAGGCTATCAGGCTAGACATACAGCCAGGCTATCAGGCTAGACATTCAACCAGGCCATCAGGCCAGACACGCAGGCTATCAGGCTAGACATACAGACAAGCTATCAGGCTAGACATACAGACAAGCTATCAGGCTAGACATTCAACCAGGCCATCAGGCCAGACACGCAGGCTATCAGGCTAGACATACAGACAAGCTATCAGGCTAGACATACAACCAGGCTATCAGGCTAGACATACAGCCAGGTTATCAGGCTAGACATTCAACCAGGTTATCAGGCTAGACATACAGACAAGCTATCAGGCTAGACATACAGACAAGCTATCAGGCTAGACATACAACCAGGTTATTAGGCTAGACATACAGCCAGGCTATCAGGCTAGACATTCAACCAGGCCATCAGGCCAGACACACAGGCTATCAGACTAGACATACAGACAAGCTATCAGGCTAGACATACAGACAGGCCATCAGGCTAGACATATTATATCCAACCACTCCTTACACCCAACACCCACACCCACTCCCAATACCCATATCTTGAGAGGATGTCTTGAGATGATTTCGGGGCTTAGCGTCCTCGCGGCCCGGTCCTCGACCAGGTCTTCTGTTTGTTTCACATCCTCAGGAAGAAGCCCATAACAGCTGTCTAACTTCCAGGTACTTATTTACTGTTAGGTGAACAGGAACATCAGGGTGAAAGAAACTCTACCCATTTGTTTCCACCTCCGCCTGGGATCGAACCCGGAACCTCAGGACTACGAATCCCGAGCGCTATCCACTCAGCTGTCAGGCCCCTTCCCATACCCACTCTTAACACTTTAACATCCAATCTACTCCCGACACAGCTTCCGATACAAGCCAACACCTATGCCAGTGAAGCCTGTGAAATAGTACATCAAAACAAACCAACGAAATCATTTGAGGAAAGGGGGAAAAAAAAGGACAAAGGTAGAGGGAACGTGTTCCTGAAAATCGTACCGTGTATAATTATGGTTCGTATATAGCACTAAATGATATAATGCAAAGTACGGTACCAGATCTTGTTGCACTAATAGAGATGAAATCTTAAGATAATATTTAAAATCAGGTCATATTACTAAGGAGACTTCTCAATTTGGAAACATGACACAAAAACTAGAAAAGGGGAATGCATAGCCGTGCTGGTGAAAGAACAGCTGAAGGTAAAGTAATTAATAACTGACAACCCACAAGAAGTTGACATAATGGTACTGGAGATTTGTAATCAGAATGATAAACTGATAATCATAAATGCCTACAGTCCACCAGCAAGCAACACATGGACAAAGAAAAAGCTGAATGACAAATTAGTGGGCCACATAATGATCATGAGAGAGATAATATTAAGAGTAGATAAAGAGTTTCTAGTTTAGTTCATTTATTATGCACACCATACCCATCTTGTGGGCGGTAGTGGAAAGGGTTACAGAGGCACATAATGGGCTCAGGGACTGAACCCCACAATTCATTTAGCTAAGCAAGTTACAATCTTGATGAGCTAGTTACAAAATTCAATACAAGTCATCACATCAACAATGGGTTCGAGATCGACCTTAAGTACAGGTTCTAAATTAAGCAACTGACATATGTGGAGAGCTAGTGTCACAAGTTATATGTTTGTCCTGCACACCGCCCCCCATCCAGTGGGAAGCGGTGGATAGGTTACAATCACTTAGTTAGTACCTACAGTTAGCAAACTGGGGATATTTGGCTAAAATTTCTGGTAGCAGATCATTTTGAATGAAATATTGACACATCGCTGGAACATTGGTTATAGAATTGTCTCTAAATTCACGTATCTTTTCGCACTCCATCACATAGTGACGGAGGGTGTGCGAATAGTTTTGTTGACACAGTTTACATTTGGTCAGGTCTACATCAGCAGATAATGAGAATTCCCAGATAAAGATAAATCACAAATGCTGACAATTGGTGACTTTAACGTGAAATCAATAGATTGGGGAGCCTACGAAGCAAGAACAAAGGACATTTGAACTGTCAGATTCGTAAACCTCATCCTGGAGACATGCGTGTATCAACACATTAAGAAGGCAACAAGAATGAGGTTAGGGAATGTTGCAGCAATACTGGATTTGGTATTTACTAGAAAAGAAGAAGAGATATTTGATATTCAGTACCCTTCCACTATTGGGAAAAAGTGACCTTGTCCTGTTGGAAATGAAATATGCAATACATTATAATCTAAAGAGAAGGGAAAAAATCAACGATGAATGTAATGAAACGCCATTTTCTGGGTAAGACCCGGAGGCTTCCCGGAACTTACTAGGCTAATATGCTAATGTCAGACTTTGGCATCAGTCATGTGTATAGAGTTCTGTGGGCCTACAGGGGACCATCCAAACAGCCCCGCCATGGACCAATTGAGCCTATGAAGAGGCGAAGCCGCAGGAAGATCTCGGGTGCGACTACGGAGCCAGCAGAGTCGGAAACCCAAGCCGGCAAAGAAGGAGATGGAACGTCTGCCGTACAGAAAAACAACCCAACGCCAGCGAGTCCGCCAGGAGATAGGAGACGACAGGTCCGACGCGAGACTCTAGAGAAGGGACACCGCGAGACCGTGAAAATGCCAACAGGCAGGGTAAGCCAGGAAACCAGGAACGCAAACCTTTTAACAAAAATCAGTAACACGAAGGTAGCGGTGGAGAGCTGCCATTGGATGCTTGGTTGGTTAGGCTGGGAGGGGGGGGCATCAACAACCAAGAGACCCCTGGGAAAACTGGATACCACGAGCGTAGCTCTCATCCTGTAACTACATTTAAGTAACTACACTTGGGTAAATAGAAGCCCCAGACTCAATTTTTGCCAGAAAAGAAGGAGATGGCTGCAGGTGAACATAACACCCACCAGACACGTTGGGTGTTACGTTCCACACCATTAAAAAAAAACAGCATTGAATGTAATGAAACGCCATTTTCTGGGTGAGTCCCGGAGGCTCCCCGGAGCTATCCATGGCTGATATGGATACCCTAACTATTTTGCATCAGTCGATGTGGGTGGAATTCTAGGCCTACCGGGGACCACGAGCCAGAACCTGGCCCCCTCAGAGAGGCACGGGGAGCAATGGCCCATAGAATTGCACATGTGATTTGGAGCATTCTATATCTGCCATTGACCGGGACAGGCACCCAGAAAGGTAAGCGCCACAAAACAAACCCCTATTCTGGTTAACAACAAAAATCGACAAACGAGCGGACAGAACTCCAAGAAAAACGAACTAACAAGCATGACGTCACACGAGCCGCGCCGCATGTCTGTGCAGCTCCCCCCTCCCAGGGAGGGGGAAGAGGAAGCCCCAGACCCCCTCGCCGGCGATCCCCGCCCCAGTTCCTCAGCTGATGGGATAGTGAATGGTCGTGTGGCTCCAGCTCCGGTCTTGTCTCAGTGCTGTGACTTGTTTGCAGTGCTGCTCTTACGGTGGTCGTGTGAGCTGGGAGTAGTATTCTCAGGTACTCGGGCTGCATGTGCTTAGGGTCACCTTCCCTGAGTGCCCTGTAAGTACTGCCCTTGGGGCTTGGGGTTGCCTTCCACAAGTCGCCTTGGGTCTACCTCTGTTGGCTTTTCGCTGCTTGGCGTTTGGCCGCCCGAGGGTTTGGGGGTTTTCCTCCCTCGCTTGCCTTGGGGTATGTGGTAGTTATAGCACTGGTAGGGCGCAGGGTACTGTATAGCTAGTTTTCACCTATAACAGTGGCCGGCTCTGTTCCCTCTGGGTACATTGTCCACTTGTGTGGTTTTTCTTTTATATTTGTTTTTGCCTGGTAGGGGGGTCTGCCTTGTGTTTCTTACCCCCCCCCCTTATATTAGGGTCGTTTGTGTGGTGGCACCCCCTGTTTCGACCTCACGGGTGGACACGTCCCGTGGGTTCAGCTTTAGCAGTTTGCTTGGTAGTCTTGCCAAATCTGGCAAGCTGGGATGGGTCCATGGGTCTGGTAGCCAGACCCATGGCAAGCAGACCCATGGACTGATGTGTCTTTGGGTCCTTGCCCACACCAGCCAGTCGAGGTAGGTCAGAATACAAACCCCCAACGAATGATGAGTTGCCGCGGTTCAAGCCAACCTAGGGAAAACATGAGGAGCCAAATTCAAGTCAAAAGGAAGCCCCTATGAAGTGTTAGGTCAGATGCTATACAACAAAACCTAACCAATCCATGAACCACAGATGTATGGGGATGTGCCATTAAGCATCCTGGAGGTCCAAGAAGTCATCCAAGACCCCACATCCGTTATGAAGTGAACCTGTGCTATCCCCCCCTCCCCCCTCCAAGCACTCCCAATACCCACACCCATTCCTAACAACCCCAACCACTCCCAACACTCCCAACACCCCCACATCCCAAACACTCCTAACACCCAAACCCAACAACACCACCTCAAACCCCTCTCGACACACACTACCACTCCCAATGCCCACACCCACTCCTGACACCTACACCCATACCAACTCCAGTCATCCACATGCCAACACCCCCAAACTGGCTCTCACAACCACTCTCAAGATTCATATGCCAACTTCCTAAGACGAGACCCAAACACTGATACTCGTACTAGACAAATGAAGTACAGTACAGCATATGAAGAATGATCAGCAAGAAACACTAATTTTTACAGATAAGTGTTGACAAAAACTCGTGAGATCAGTCAGGTAACAATAACACTGAGCATTCAGCAGCGAAATAACGTCATTACTAAAAGCTGCTATTTTTTTGTTAAGTGTTAGAGAAAAATGTATTACATTATAGCAAATATTTGTAATATAAGTATTCATTAAATGAGATTTGCCTGAATTTGCAATATTTACACTTGTTTTAGGAATGTTTTATTAGTTATTAGTTGAAACTTTTGACTGTTCGGTCGGTGGAATGCGATCCACATCCTAACCTTATCTGTATGCCATTTGCTTCACCAAATACTTTCTCAATGAAGCGAGGGAATATATCCAGCCTACAAAGTTTGTGTTGTAACCGGAGATTAGCCTAAGTGAGGGTCACTTCATCGAGGCTGCACTGTTCCCAGAACTGCTCTGGATCTAGCTTTCTATTTTATAATATTTTGAAGTTCTATAATATATTTAATAGCTAGTTTATCATAAAAATTCTAGATACAACCTTGCCTCATGTGCTGTGCATGTTGTACTAGAAAGGCAGCTAAATTACATTTTTATTACTAAAGATAATCACCAAGTACTCTACCAGGTTTCATGCATCCAAAGATTGCCTCCACTTCATGCTATGCTCAATTGCACTTATGACATGTTATCTTGGTTATTTTGAGATGATCTCGGGGGTTAGTGCCCCCGCGGCCCGGTCCTCGACCGGGCCTCCACCCCCAGGAAGCTGCCCATGAAACCTGCCTAACTCCCAGATACCTATTTACTACTAGGTAACTGGAGCATCAGGGTGAAAAACTCTGCCTATCGTTTCTCGCCAGCGCCCAGGATCGAACCCGGGACCACAGGATCACACGTCCAGTGTTCAGTCCGCTTACAGGGTGTAATAAAATATTCTATTCACCTGAACAGTATGGGTCTCGAACCAAGACCCCACACGTGTGAGGCTGTAGCTCTATCAACTGGGCTATGAGCAGCCCTAAAAAGGAAAATTTCCAGAAGCAGCATCTGGAAACTTTGCTGCAACGGCCTGACACGTGTGGGGTCAACAGTTCGAGACTCATACAGTCCATACATACCATACATACAGTGGATGGCAATTTATATAATAAAATATTTATTTTTAGTGTATTACTAAGTAGGAGACCTAGTCATAGACTGGGCCGTGGGGGGACTGATCCCCGAAATTACCGTAAGGTAACGGCAAGGTAAGGCAAGTACAGTACTGTACCTGTATGGAGCAGTATTTAAATGTTAAAAATGCAAATACAGAATAAAAATTTTGTTAGCATTGCTAGGTTACACTTTATAATGAACAAAACCACCAAGTACTCACATGAGAAGCTGCCAATGAGTTTACGGACAAAATGGCAGAAGTGCGTCTTGATCTGCAGGAGTGTGTTATCCTTGTCATTCTCACTCTCCAAGTAGAGACGAGCACCATCCATGTACTCCAGGTATCGCTTCAGTAGAGTTCCTGTGTCTCCATCAATTACATTCTCACTACACAGTTAGGAAACAAACAAATAAATAATAACTTAAGTAAGCCTAACACCACATTAGTGCAATACTAGCAAACTGGGAAAGTTTGGTAAAAATATATTTAAAGCTATGGTCCCATTATGTTGAAAGAATCAATCTAATAAAAACTGACTTTTTACCAGAGATTGAACCAGCTCTGGTAAAAAGTAAGTTTTTAAAATGCTAAATTTAACAACCTGGAAGTTTTGTAACCAAGTAGGTACACCAAGAAATATTTAACAAGCCTAAACAAACATGATCAAGAAAGTATCAAATAAATTCAAACAAACACAAGATGCAGGCAGCTCTGCCAAATTGTGTTTTATTGCATCATATTTCCCGACCCAACCATAAAAACAAAAGTTACCTGAGAGCAAAGGTGCCTTGTTCAGCAATCATTTCAAATAGTTTTACCAATGTCACCCTAAGGGCATCTCTTCGTCGCCGCCGACGCATGTTTTCCTGCTTACGGTCAATGCTCTCGCGTATATAGGGGAAGAGTTCTTCCATCAAGTCACTGAATTAACAAAAGGATACAATTATTGCTACTATATATGGAAATATTAAGTGAAAGCTCTATACAATGCAAAAACTTTTATTAATGGCAAAAATATATCATTCTTCACAAGAGAAATATCTTTGGCATTATTGCTAACTACTGATGCCAAAGATCCTTAATCGATCTTGTTATCACCACAGCTTACCTGAGCGCAAAATGGCTAATCTTGCCAAGAGCAAGTGTGACAGCCTCTCGCATGTCGGAGCTGTCACAGCGTAGGAGAGGCACAAGCAGCTTGTACAAGCAGAGGGGGGAAACAGAGTAGCCGGGGTAAGGGCGTTCTCCCCCCCTCTCACCACTCGCTCCACTCTCTGGTGACGATCTGATGAATATGAAGCAAACTTGTATGCCATGTTAGCCATTGACGGTCTGGTTACAGCCATCTATGTACATACATAGTTCAACAGAACCAAGTTGCTGATAGCAATTTAAAAAACACATCAAATGTAAACTGTATAGCAATAAAGTTAGTTTTGTCTGCAAAGAACTTCACCAAATCTAACAAAGCTACATAGGAAGAGCTGCTTTTAAAGGGGAAAGAAGATTAGCTGGTGGGATGAGGTCAGACATATTAAAGATTGAGCATTTCACATTACTACTTATATTTTTCTAGTGGCAGTTTAGTTATTTAGTAATAAATTCAGTACAGAAATTTCCTCGATTCCGTTTGATGGTGCTGTAAAGTTTAACAACTGCAGATTCTATATACAGAAATGTACGTCTAATATAGTTTTCTACTTTTATGACACGTTCGGCAATCTTAACGCTCGTGAAGTATTGCTGGAGATTTATGTGAGGCAAGCATTACTTTTATCAGTGATAAGGTACACATGCATCTTTGAAGTTACTAAACCTCATGATCAAAGAAAACAAAATTAAAAGAATATGAACAGCATTTAAAGATTAGCATTCTTAAATGATAGTGATCTACAAATACTATAGAATCAAACATTTTAGCATTGCATTGCCACTTGCTCAATTATCGGTGATAAATTCTAAATTAGAATGTTCAATCCCCCTCCTACATCTCTGCTATATCTAATCAAGTCCTTATAAGCAAAACTCACTCCAATAATCTTCTCACATCTTGAAAATTCTCCGTCACGCCAGGAATGACATTGAGAAGGTTTATTTAACTGCACTCAAACAAGTCCCAAGGACTACATGACATTCAAAACATTGTAATGAGCTGGACCAATTGGTTGCTCCCATAGCAAGGTCGTGCTGTCCCCATGGGTAGGACTATATAATCATGGCAGGTTGACATTTTTCACCAGTGCAACAGGGATCCTTTCACGCACCCTTGTCAAGTTATAGCTGGTACAAGGAAGACACCAGAGGCTTCCCAATCCAGACTGGAATTACCTCAAGAAAACCCCATTCAATTACAATGATATGCCTTCCAATTGCTACTTGGCTTGAAAGAGACTGCTAAAGATCGCTCCGCTAATCGCTAGTTAGAATGTCCAGCTACTCTACCACCTAACATCCACTAAGAACCAGCACTTTACCATCAGGGTAAAAATAATCATGACTAGTATTTATTCTGGCAAAGAAGTGTGGCACCCCACCCCATACCAATAAGTAGTGGAATCACCCTAACATTCCCTGCACACTAATGATTGGGAATGTGACCCAGCAGAAGGAATAGTAACAATTATTAATTAATTATAGTTGTAATAATAATTATAATAATAATTGTTGTAATTAATTAATAATTATTACTCTTCCTTCTGCTTAGTCTTGAATGAAGCTGGCCTCTGGTGAAAGGGAGCTGTGATGATCTCTGTCTGGAACCCGTAGGTGTGGGGCTCGAACATCCACCTCCTGGGACTCATGCAGCCCAAGCTCTGTTTCAGGAAACTGGGATCGTTCTTGCCCTTGCTGGGGTGGTTCTTGAACTCGTTGTGGTTGGGTTCAAACCTGACCATGATGGTCTCTGGGTTTGGAGTCCCTGTGCTTTCTTTTACCAACCTCGAGGTAAACTCTAGCACTGGAACCCTTAGGGCAGTTTCTTGTTGCCTTCAACCTCATTCTGACAGTTCCTGCAATGGCACTGGAACCAATCATATTGGCGTTTGCCTTTCCATTGGAGAATTTTGGCGCCATGGAGAGGGGGAGACCTGATGCATGGGTAATAGTTTCTCTCCCGTATTAACCTACCCTGGCTTTGCACCCTGGAGAGGCCACTCCAGACCGACATCCAGAGTACAACTCCATAGTCTCCCGAGACTGATGGATGCCTACAACTAGTGATTGGGGGGATTCAGCTGGGAACCCATCTTCCCACTAAAGGCAAGAAAAGATTCTTCCTTCCTTAATACAACATCTATACCCTTTTTTTCACTAAACTATGCTCCCTTTTTCTGAACTAGCCACCTTGGATACACCCTAAGCCATGTAACCATGTGCTCAACCTGTATCACAAAACATATCACCATCTGTCAACCTGCTCACTCGCTCACTGTCATTCTTGTTTGCACAAAATATAAAATTCAAGGTACAAGAACAAAGATGGTGTACAGACATGAGGTGGCAAAAATGAGACTTGGCTGTCTGCAAATGCTGAACAATCACACCTATGCAGGCGATGAGTCACAATAACGTGGCTAAAGTACGTTGACCAGACCACACACTAGAAGGTGAAGGGACGACGACGTTTCGGTCCGTCCTGGACCATTCTCAAGTCGATTGTGATGAGGAAGTAGAGATGGGCAATAAATAGGCAAGAGAGAGGTGGGGAGCAAAGTAAGGAGTAGTAGAGGGGGATAGTAGTAGTAGGAATAAGAAGGCCAATAGGCCCTCTGTAGTTCTTATTCCTACTACTCTCTCCTCTACTACACCTTACTTTGCTCCTCACCTCTCTCTTGCCTATTTATTGCCCGTCTCTACTTCCTCATCACAATCGACTTGAGAATGGTCCAGGACGGACCGAAACGTCGTCGTCCCTTCACCTTCTAGTGTGTGGTCTGGTCAACAAAATTACACCTATATTACTAAGGATAAATATCCACAGATTGCCTCCACTTAGTACCTGTGGCTTTGGAGTGCAGCACGAAGACCAAATTTATGGTAATCTAACACTGCTTGTCCAAGAATATCCAAATGTTACAATTCTCACTAATTTTCATTTAATCTTTGCAGTAAAAGCTTACTGTCAAAAGGAACACCTTAACATGCCGAACATCCAGTCTGGGATGACCCGGGACGTTGGCCCAATCCTGCTCTCCTGCTCCACACCTTTATCTTGAGGTTATCTTGAGGTGATTTCAGGGCTTAGTATCCCCGCGGCCGGTCTTCGATCAGGCCTCCTCTTTGTTACACATCCCCAGGAAGCAGCCCGTAGCAGCTGTCCAACTCCAAGATACCTATTTACTGTTAGATGAACAGGAGCGTCGGGTGAAAGAAGCTCTGCCCATTTGTTTCTGCCTCCACCGGGGATCTAACCCAGAACCTGAAGACTACAAATCCCGAGCACTGTCCACTCAGCCGTCAGGCCCCCTTGGCACACTCGGAGATACATCACGTAATTGTGATTTCTTTGTGTATTAATTTCTGTTGTCAGTGAAACAGGCCACCCCAACTACCTTCAACACTATTAACCCCCACCATCAAGAAGTACTTCTTACCCTCAAAGCTGCATCATTCGTCCAACTACTTAACAAAGAGGTAAGATGTACTTTTAGTGCTCATCACCTCATCACTGCTATAAACTGCGAGAACATTATTTGGAGCAATGAGGCGACTCAAAACAGCGATCAAGGTACTCCCGGCTGCACACCTTACCTTGACTGCTGGTTCAAGTCACCTCATTGCTCCAAATGATTTTCTCATTGATATATATATCACATTTGTGTGATTGTGAATGGAAATGGTTGTACATAACTGGCATAACTGTGAAACAGTGCTGAACGTTAACAACCATATCATCAAGTTCTTGCACAATACACAACACTCAAGTCATGATCTATTACATATCAACTCATACAACACCATAATGACTGATTATTTCCTGAATTTAAGGTTTTCTGAACTATGACAATCACATTGGTGGCATTCTTTCAACTACACATAGTCATGGTGGGAGAGAGATTTGGAGATATGAATAAGAAAATATACATGATCTGCTACAATCTCCCATTAACAACGACTATCATTAGATGAGGTGACAACTGCTGAAGGATAGTTGTCATCAAAAAGAAATAAAAAGAGATTATCATCTGTTGGGAGCTCCTATACAGCAGAGATCATCACATACAACAAGCTATTGACCGGACACACACACACCAATGATCCAAACCTCGAGAAAAGAACCAAGTGTATCCTTAACCTTCACCAGACTATGCAACACTCTGCAGATTAGCTAACAAAGCACATGGAATGATGACAATAGAAGAGTATCACATTGCTCACCTTCCAAAAAGTTACAGTCACTGCCCCAAATATGTCAAAATCAAATCTCAGCGTTCAATTAGTTTTGTTTATGTCCAAGCAGAGCTTACATCATTTAATGATAAATCATAAAATTTGCTTTACTTGATCTGTACACCATCACTATCCAGCCCACAGACACGTCTTACCTTCACAATCTTCTAGAAGCAAGAATACAGTAAATAATGATAAATGTAAAAAGCCTCAGCCAGAGAGACTTCTACCACTATCCATCTTCTCTCTTCCTCCCAGAAATTACAGAATTGCATGATGAAAAATAAACACTCAGAATGTTAGACTACATAACATACCCTAAACTGATGTCTGGGGAAGCACATCTGATGACCGGTGTCTTGGTGATTGCCGGCACCACACGGCAGGCCAGGACAACGTAATTTCGCCATAGATTCATGTAAATATCTCTCTCACTAATTGGCTTTTTAACTTGTGTTGCACTGCGAAGTAGTGATGCTCGGTTGTCATTAGGAGGCCTGTTAAAATACAGTACATTTAAATAATCAGAACTTTTGTTATCCTAAAAAAAATCTGAAAAACAAACAGGTGTAAGATGAAAATACACTATTTTTTATACTGCAACATCTTCCCCCATCTGGATGGGGTTCCGGCAGTTCTTCTAGTCCCTAAGGGCAGCCTGGGGGCAAAGCTTGATTTGTGAGAGTTTGGTCCCTCAAGCTATGGTTGGAGCGGCCCACGGGCCCACATATTCACAACAACCTGGATGGTCCGGTGAATCTTGCAGAAAATTGTCCAGTTTTTTCTTGAAGACTTCTACTTTTGTTTTGGATATATTTCTTACACTTGCAGAGAGGGCCAGCAAGTGTAAGAACTTGCTGGCTCTCCCAGCAACAACTGTGGGGCCTCTGATGTTCATACAGTGTTCTCTGATCGTGCTTATGACACCTCTGCTCTTCACTGACTCTATTCTGCATTTCCTACCAAAATCATTCACTCCAGTATGTTATTTTACTGTTCAAATTTGGGACCTGGCCCTCCAGTAGTTTCCATGTATATATAATTTGATACCTCTCTCTCATCTCCTTTCCAAAGAGTACATTTTGAGAGGTGTGAGATGATCCCAATAGTTTAGGTGTTTTATCATGTTTATACATGCTGTATATGTTCTGTGCATTCCTTCTATTTTAGTAATCTCTCTCCTGCTCTGATCAGGAAAGTGAGTATAGAGCAGTACTCAAGGCAGGACAGCACAAGTGATTTAAATAGTATGAGCATTGTGGTGGGATCCCAGGATTTGAAGCTTCTTGTAATCCATCCTATAATTTTTCTAGCCGGCTGACACTATATTTGTTCACTAAATGTGATCATGGCATGCTAACCCATAAAATGGAATTAACAGGAATAATAGGCAAAGAAGGACAATGGATATTATTGTCAGTTGTCAGTTCTTGCAGCAATGATGTTTCTCATTCTCATATCAGAGACAAATACAAATCACAGCTTTATGTCATCATTTGCAGATGACACAAAATCAGTTTGAAAATTACTTCTGTAGAAGACACTGAAGCTAACATTTAAAAAGCCTTCATTTGGGCAACATAAAATGAAATGAAGTTCAACTGTGATAAATTCCAGGTACGTAGGTATGGAAAAAAGAAAAACAAAGTATATACAGCACAGTGTACCACACAAATCAGATCTCCTCATAGTAGGAAAACAGCATGTAAGGGATCTGGAAATTATGATGTCTGAAGACGTAATGTTTGCCGAGTATAACCACGCATATATAGTGTCAGCCAGGGAAGTAAAAGGATTGATTATGAGAACCTTAAAATCCAGGATTTCATCACAATGCTCTTATTATTCAACTAATTTGTGCTGTTCCCTCTTAAATACTGCTCGATAATCGACCATTCAGAGTAGGAGAACTTGCTGAAATAGAGGAAATACAGAGAATATATACATCGGCATACATGATAAAACCAGAGCAATGGCCTATAGAAACCCCTGTGTGGTTGGAAGCATTCTGTTTGCCATCGACCAGATCAGGCACCCAGAAATATTTAACACCCCAAAACCAACCCCCTATTCTGGTGAAGAAATTGTTACTGAAAGCTGAACTAGTGGACAGAACTCCCCAAATGAAAACGAGCAAATGAGTATAACATCACTGAGCCGCTGTCTGCGCAGCTCCCCCCTCCCTGGGAGGGGAAAAGGGAAGCCCTAGACCCCCATGCCGGCTATTTACACCCCAGTTCTGCAGCTGGATGTCAAAAACACAAAAAATCACTGACTGGAGGGAGGGAGAGATGTGGGGGAGCCTCCAGGTCTCACCAGAAACTGGCATTTCATTACATTCAACACTGGTTTTCTGGGGTGAGCCCCTTCGGCTCCCCAGAGCTACTAACCCAAAGACAAAACAAGAGGGAGGCAGTCGGCACTCACACCTCAACGTGAAGGCAAGACAACTGGCTGCAACCGCCGACCCAATGCAACACAGGCCCGACTAGGCCCAGGAACACTGAGAAGATAGTGAGTGGCCAGGACCCTGTTCGACCTCCAAAAACCCCGTGCCCCAATGTCAGCCCAAGACATATTACCAAAGACGGCAGCCAACGTAGCCAATTTACGAACGTCGTAGGCATGAGGATAGACCGCAGGCTGGCTGGACCGACTAACCCTGTGGACGACCTGGGAGACTCGAATCCTGGAACAGGGAAGAAGGGAAACTGGGTCGTCCCCGACCACCATGGCCGTGGTGTGCAGGTAATGGCAGAGCGCCACAACCGGACACAACACATGATACACCCCCAGCCTAACCAACCAAGCATCAACAACCCAAGGACCCTTTCAGAAAGCAGCAGTCTCATTCTTCTAAAAAGAGCAGGAGGAGAAAAGAAGGAGACGGCTGCAAACATACAAACCTACCACCAAGACCAAAAGAGCAGAAACCCCTGTGACGGAGGGAAGCATGAAGCTTCCCGACACGACCCCCAAAGGCCAATGCCAACAGGAAAAAGAGTCTTGGAAAAACAATCCTGAAACCGAAGGGGCCACTACAAGAAGGGGCCAACGAGAAGAGGGCCACCTCAAGAGGGTGGCCTTCTCGGGGCCACCTTACCTGGCCTGACCCGGGTAAGACGCGTAAATACACAAGGTGCCAGATTCAGGCCAAAAGGAAGGCAATGAAACCGGTAAGCCTGCAGCCCCATCACGAAATGGAACCAGTCCCTGAACCCCGGATGAATTGGGACATGCCAATACATGTCCTGGAGGCCCAGAGACACCATCCAAGAACACGGCTCCAAAAGAAGCCGGACCTGGGACAGAGTGGTGATGTGATCATGACCACAGAATGGTCATCTGAAAGGAAGGGCAAGGAATCCTGGGGTTCAGACGGGCAAAGTCCAGAATGAAGCTCAGATCTTCACAATCCCATTTCGGTAGTGGAATCAGGTGGGAAATCTACCCGAGGGACAGGGTCGTTTCGACCATGCCAAAGCGCACCCACTCCAAGATGACTCGATGGAGTGCAGGGGAAAAAGCCTGCCCACCAGCCCTGAACACCCTGAAGGAGGAGCCGCTGCCCAATGCCACCACAGGCCGGAGGATACAACCCGATATGCCCACGAATCTTGGGACCAGGCATGAGCAAAGAGTACGAGCTTTCCCCCCCCCCCCCCTCCTCCATCACCCATGAAAGGGCCGATGCCCCTTACGAGAAGCCAGCTGACAAGATGATGCCGGCTCCAAAGAAGGCGCTGGCTCAGAAACTGACATCAATGGCCCACCCTGACTAGAAGAACTCTAAGCCCTGGCACGACCCCTCCGAGAGGCCCAAGAACGGCCTCCACGGAGAACCGAGTCTGACATAGGATGACAACTAAACAATGCCGCCTGCAGAAACTGGGAGAAAGCAGCCTCTGCAAACAGCAACAGACAAAAAGGCGACAGAAACTTATGAGCCAGGGCCCAAGTGGATTCCAAGGAGAGGGCGAGCACGGCCTAATAGCACACGAGGCAAGAGGCAAAGAACAGAGACACCACCTCCCGCAGAATCGGTGCAAACAGCTTCAACAGCGTGGTCGATGCCCGAGCTGCCGAGGCAAGCACACCTGACGAAGGCTGGCAATCAACGCCTCAACATCCTCTTCAAGCCAGTCCGAGGACAACTTAAGAAGGAAAAAAAGCACAAGACCAAAGCCAAATGCCTGAGAATGCGCAAGTCCTTCGCTACCAAAGACGCCAAATGGACGGGAACCTGCGTGTGCAGCTTAACATGGCCAACATCCCGTGGAAGCACAGGGGTGAACAAACTCGCATTAAAGTGTTCAACCTTGCCCCCAAGGTAAACCTGCAGAACGATAACTACCTCCTGCCACTCAAGCGTGCGGATCCGACAAAACCCATGCCACTCCACCAGCAAAAAAAAAAAAAAAAAAAAAGGACAGTCTGCCAGCCAAGAAGTCACTGGAACCTCTAAACACATCCAATCCAGGGAGGAACCTACCTACCTTGAGGCTACCTTGAGGTGCTTCCGGGGCTTAGTGTCCCCGCGGCCCGGTCGTCGACCAGGCCTCCTGGTTGCTGGACTGATCAACCAGGCTGTTAGACGCGGCTGCTCGCAGCCTGACGTATGAGTCACAGCCTGGTTGATCAGGTATCCTTTGGAGGTGCTTATCCAGTTCTCTCTTGAACACTGTGAGGGGTCGGCCAGTTATGCCCCTTATGTGTAGTGGAAGCGTGTTGAACAGTCTCGGGCCTCTGATGTTGATAGAGTTCTCTCTCAGAGTACCTGTTGCACCTCTACTTTTCAACGGGGGTATTCTGCACATCCTGCCATGTCTTCTGGTCTCATGTGGTGTTATTTCTGTGTGCAGGTTAGGGACCAGCCCCTCAATTATTTTCCACGTGTAAATTATTATGTATCTCTCCCGCCTGCGCTCAAGGGAGTACAGATTTAGGCTCTTTAGTCGGTCCCAGTAATTTAGATGTTTTACTGAGTGGATTCTAGCAGTAAAGGATCTCTGCACGCTCTCTAGGTCAGCAATTTCTCCAGCTTTGAAAGGGGCTGTCATTGTGCAGCAGTACTCCACTCTAGAGAGCACCAGCGTTTTGAAAAGTATCATCGTCGCTATAGCATCTCTAGTGTGAAAAGTTCTTGTTATCCAACCTGTCATTTTTCTTGCAGTTGTGACGGCTACTTTATTGTGTTCTTTAAAGGTAAGGTCTTCCGACATGAGTACACCCAGATCCTTTACATTGCCTTTTCGTTCTATGTTATGATTTGCCTGAGTTTTGTACGTGGTTTCTGTTTTTATATTTTAAATTTTTCCGTAGCGCATGAGCTGGAACTTATCCTCATTAAACACCATATTATTTTCTGTAGCCCATAGAAAGACCTGATCTACATCTGATTGGAGGTTTGCCGTGTCCTCTATGTTGCCAACTCTCATGAAAATCCTAGTGTCATCTGCAAAGGATGATACAGTGCTATAGGTTGTGTTCTGGTCTATGTCCGATATGAGGATGAGAAAAAGTACTGGAGCAAGCACAGTACCCTGGGGGACTGAGCTCTTCACGGTTGATGGGCTGGATTTTATTTTGTTGACTATTACACATTGGGTTCTGTTAGTCAGGAAATTGTAGATCCATCTGCCTATTTTCCCGGTAATTCCTTTTGAACGCATTTTATGTGCAATAACACCATGGTCACATTTATCAAAAGCTTTTGCGAAATCTGTATAAATTACATCAGCGTTTTGTTTGTCTTCCATAGCATCTAATGCCATATCATAGTGGTCCAGCAACTGCGACAGGCAAGAGCGCCCTGTTCTGAAACCATGTTGTCCGGGGTTATGGAGTTGCTGTGATTTCATGTATTTTGTGATCTTACTTCTTAGCACTCTCTCAAAATTTTTTATGATGTGCGATGTTAGTGCTATCGGTCTGTAATTTTTTGCCTCTGCCTTATTTCCTCCTTTATGGAGTGGTGCTATCTCTGCTGTTTTTAGTATGTCAGGGATAACGCCAGTATCTAGGCTTTGTCTCCACAGAATGTGAAGGGCCTGCGATAGTGGTTTTTTACAGTTCTTGATGAATATGGAGTTCCAAGAATCCGGGCCTGGTGCAGAGTGCATAGGCATACTGTTTATGGCTTCTTTAAAATCTAGTGGGGATAGGGCGACGTCTGATATATGATTTGATGTTGGTATCATATCCATGAAAAATTCATTTTGGTTAACAATCTTTAGTGCATTTAATGGCTCGCTGAAAACAGAGTCGTACTGCTTCCTCAGTAACTCGCTCATTTCTTTGTTGTCATCGGTGAAGGTTCCATCTCCCTTTCGCAGGGGCCCGATACTAGATGTGGTTTTTTATCTTTATTTTGCATAGGAGAAAAAATATTTCGGATTTCTCTCTATTTCACTGATGGCCTTTTGCTCTCTTTGCCTCTCCTGGGTTTTGTATGATTCTTGTAGCTTGAGTTCAATTGTTTATATTTCTCTACCTAACCTTCTTCGCCGTTCTTGAGATAGGGTGCAACTCTCAAGTTGTTCCGCAATTCGTTTTCTTCGCCTATATAGGGAACGACGTTCCCGTTCCAATCTGCCTCTCTTTCTCTTTTTTCTTAGGGGTATGCGGTTTGAACATATTTCTAGTGCTACTGTGCTTATTTTTTCCAAGCACTGGTTCAGGTTTGCATTTCCTAGCTGTTCTTCCCAGTTTATTTCTGTGAAGTCCTGGTTTATTTGCTCCCAGTTTATCCGTTTATTATTGAAGTTGAATTTGCTGAAATCTCCTCCACCGGGAATCTGGACTGGTTTTGAAGGTCCATTCCCCATGGTTGTCAGAACTTCAATTAAGTTGTGATCTGAGTAACAGGTATTTGTAATCATTATGTTCCCGATCAACTCATCATTATTAGTGAAAATGAGGTCCAGCGTGTTCTCCTTCCTAGTTGGTTCTACTATTTGCTGGTTTAAGGCAAACTTATCGCACATCCGTAGCAGGTCATTTGCATGTGCCTGTTCATTTAGGCTACTTCCTGGTATTCTTTCTGATATTACTGTATTAGCCAGGTGCTTCCATTTCAGGTGCCGTAGGTTGAAGTCCCCAAGCAGGATGATGTTCGGAGCTGGATTTGTGAGGTTTTGTGAGGAAGAACCAAACTTAAACAAGGACGGATCCATGACAGAGGCAACATCCAGGTCTAGCAGGAGGTACGACGCAAGCGCCTCCCGAACTTCCATAGGTGAGATTTAAGAGGCAGAAAACCTCGAGAAAGGGGGGTGCCGAGGAACCCAAGGGAACCCAGAACCGAACCTGGGGAAGGAGCCGACCCCAAATCATACTCATACAGGGAAGGAGAGTATGAAAACTACTCCCCCTGCAACAACAAATCCTGCGAAGAGTGCACCAACACCCAAGTGGGATCAAAGGGTTCCAAGCCCCCGGGTCTTCTCCTCCCCAGCCTCGGGAGCCTCCAAACTAGGCTGCTGGGCAGAGCCATCCTCAACACCCTCTACCCCTGAAGAAAAGACAGAGTCCAGGAGAAATGCAGAGAAGAAAGGGGTCCGCTGGTATAGAAGCTTCGGCAAGAGGAACAGGCTCATATGTTTCTGTTCCTGATCCGGATGGGGCAGCCCCCGAAGCTGCCTGAATCTCATTCGCCAACTAAACCCTGCCTCGACTCCAAAACCCTCAAATGTTTGGGAGCCAGAAGCAGGGAATTGAGGAGGAGGGGTGGGGGGGTAGGGCGAACATCACCAACTGGGAAATTACCTGGAAGCGCGGATAGAACCAAAGTCAAAGTGACTAACGCCCCCAAGTCCAGGACCCTATAACCAAAACAGGGCAGCCTTGGGACATCTGGGTGGGCAATGAACCTAGCGCATTGCAGCAACCTAAACCTAGCATGCAACACCGACGCCGCCTGTACCCGAACCTTAGTATCAAGAGAATGGGTAAATTGGAGTACAACCAGAGAATACAACTCGCAAGACTCCAGATCAAAGGTGTCATTGACCCAGCCATGTCATTTTGCCCAAGTCATGCTGCATGTTTTGCCTAAGTCATGCAGCATGACTTAGGCAAAACAGCTGACTGTCACCCTGAGACAAGGGAACAGAGCAGCCTTCAAACTCTCACAAGGCGAGTCGGAACTCAGAAGATGCATCCATTGGGCAAACGAGCCCCAATGGGGATTTCCAGAGTTTGCAGGCTGACTGCTATGGAAAGCCTGGACAAGGTACTGCAAAAACTGGTGTGCAATTTCCTCCACGTAGGGAAAACAAAAAGTAAAGAAAAATCCTGCAAAAGTACAACGTCCCCAGAATGAAGAGAAACCAGCTGCCGCGGAGGTAGGCAAGCTGCGCAGTACCTTGCGCCCTTACCAGCAAACAATACCACTTCCTACCCAAGGCCATAAAGACCCCAACTGGCCCCAAGGGCGGGGAATCGCCGAGCAGCAAAGACCCCTATGGAAGCGATTCCTGAGAACTCTATGGAAGATAACCCTAGGAACGAAGGGTAGTACTTACAGGGCACTTAGGGCATGCAGCCCCAGTACTCTTGGTTTTTCCTGGTCACTACACCACACACAGCAGAAAACACCACGAAGGTACACAACTGCCAAAAATCTGAGGCCAGAGTCAACGACTGCCCCAGATCAAATCAGCCAATGAATGGAAGGTATGAGGAGCCAGCACAGTGGGGAAGTAGAGGATGTACGGATGAGCAGTGCGGCGACATTTACTTGTTCTTTAGGTTGGTGGGAGTTCTGCCTCTCTGTTCTGTCTTCAGTTGCAATTTTTTTACCATGTGGGGTCTGTTTTATTATGCCTACCTTTCTGGGTGCTAACCCCAGTCAATGGCAAACATGGAATGCCCCCAAGTACAAGGGGGGCTTCCATAGGCCATTGCTTCCTTTGCCTCTCTGAGGAGGGGCCAGGTTCTGGCTTGTGGTCCATAGTAGGCTGAACTCCAATTGACTGATGCCCCAGACTAATATATTGCATATCAATCTGATAGCTCCAGGGAGCCCAAGGGGCTCCCCACCTTGGGCTCCCCACAGAAAAAAGGTTAACCAATGACCAAGACAAATACAATAGATATGCTGTACATTACAATATTATATATATTTAAAAAAAAGAGTTACAAAATTATATAAAGGTTGAATAAATCTATAATATAGTCATGACAAGTGTGACTTACGTTGGGTCAACAATAGAGTAGAGAGAATTAGCCCTTGTGTAGACAATGGGCCAAGCATGGTTGACAGCCTGAGGACACGAGGTGAGAACACGACCCTGAAGAATGAATCCACACAACACAAGTGCCCACACGTCCTCACACACCAGGTGCTGTGCACTTACACTTTTCACACTGCTATCCTCTAGAAACCCTGCAATAAAAAAAATAAAAATAGTGTTAAAAGTAATGAAATGCCCTTTCTGGGTGGCATTAGTCGCTCCAAGGTGGGAGTTACATTGACACAGAGCTCTAGTACAACCAATGTTCACAAAACCACCAGACCTCTGGACTTGCAAAGGCCTACCAAACACCAGGACCAGAATCTGGTATGCTCATACGAGCAAGGGGATCATTGGGATCCAGGATTGACCAAAACACCAGTAAAAGTGACAAGAAAATATTGAAGCAAAACAAAAACGAAATCATGGAAACTAGGGAATTTGTTTGTTGACATTAGGCAAACTACCATGTTCTAGTATAGTACCTAAGTACACCACCAGGAAGCAGCTCAGGTAACTCATGAGTTAAGCCTGCCTGCCTCCTCACTCATGTGCTGCTCCTTTCAAGATGCACACAATCTCCATGGGAAATAAGGAAAAAAACAGCGTTGAATGTAATGAAACGCCATTTTATGGATGAGCCCTGGAGGTTCCCTGGCTCCAGAGAGCCTCTGTAGCTCACCCAGAAAATGGCACTTCATTACATTCATCACTGGTTTTCTGCAGGGAGTCTCGTCGGCTCCCTGGAACTAAATACCCAAAGAAAAGTAAATGAGGAACGTACCAGGGAGGCGGCAGTACCACATGCCTCATGACGAAGATGAGACAACTGGCTGCAACTGATGGCCCAAAGCCACACAATACCGCTAAGGGCCTGGAACGTTTATGAGACAATGGGCGGCCAGGACCCTGTTCGACCTCCAAAACCTCCCATGCCCGAACATGTTACCAAAGTGTGATGGGTTGTGGTATCGCAGCTATACTGAACCAAGATGGTATGGCTCTCCCGCACATAATGAAAAACAAATGCTGCTATTGGCCCTGCAGAGTGTAAGTTGCAGTTGGAAACAAATGAAAATCATCAAATAAATAATTAAACAATTTACTGAAATATTAATGAACATAAATGCCCCTGAAAATACTTGGCTCTCATGTAATGCAAAAGTGAACAAGTTATTATGGTCTTAAATGTAAAAATAAACTACAGAATAAGCAATGAAGAAAAGAATAAAGATATACTGGTGTACTGAAGACAGCTACCATACCACCATGGCATCAATCACACGACGTTGGCTGAAGGTGGACGATGGGTGAAAGACACAAAGGTGATCCTAGAGCACTAAGGGAGAGACTGGCTCTCCAGGGTTGTTGTTGTTGCTGTTGTTGTTGTTAAAGATTCGCTACCTGAAATAAAAAGTTCCAGGTAACATGGGCTATGGTGAGCCCGTAGTGCCTTCTCTCCAGGGAGGCGGCGCCCTTTATATAGTCCAACGGTGATGACTCATGCAGTGTCAACGCAAGGTGGACATCTGGTCAACTAGCAAACTGCTCGTTATGGCTGGCGGTGCCTTTGTGTTGAGCTGCACCACTGTCAGTTGAAGGCGGCTAACTGCTTGTTTGTGGGGGCAAACTACCGGTTAGCAGAGACACCCGGCTTGCCTCCGAGTCGTACCAGGCCGCGCTAGGCCCTGGGGGGTATGGAGAGGTGGCAGGACTGATGACTCATCTGGGTTGGTGTAGATGTATACTTCCAGTGCAGAGGCATTGAAGGTGAAGGGAAAAGGCAGTTCCACTGCTATGCAGGGGATTCACGTGACAAAAGACAGCGGCAAGACCCGCAAACTTTCGAAAATCATGGGCATGAGGGTAGACCGCAGACTGGCTAGACTTGATAACCCTGCGGACAACCTGAGAGACCCGAGCCCTGGAACAGGGAATGAGGGAAATCGCATCAACCCATACCGCACCCTCGGACACTGAAGCTGAGGCACCTTTGACCAGACCGACCAAGCATCAATAACCCACGGACCCCTCCAAAAGCCCACCATCTCACTCTTCCCCCAGAAAAGAAGTAGACAGCTGCAAATGAACAAAATGCCCCCAGGACCGAAAGAGCAGAAACCCCCTGCATTGAGTTACATGCACCTCTTGTCCATACAAATGAGTTCCACTCACCTCCAGTCCACACAGATGAGCTACGGTCAGCAAGCCATTGCAGGTCGATGGTGGTGGTAGCTGCTACTGCAGACCTCTCCCCCGGAGGCAGCAATGATAACACGCCCTCCACAACACATCCACACCACCTAATGTCATAGATGCACCCAAGATATTACTATAATTATACAAATATTGTATGATTAATAATACTGTATTGTATTAGAAGGGTCTAATATTAAATTATATGTGTCGAATTATATAAGAAGGGGTCTAGTAATATCATATTAAAATGGTCCCCAAGTTCACATAAGAATGTATTTCTGGAGGATACGAGTAGAATCAAAGGAAAATAAATAAATTTGTCACAATAGATGATAGGAGTATACATGTGGCAACCCCATCACTAACATTATGCTGGAAGAACAGAAGTTAAAACTTATATAATAAGGATCATGTCTATTAATGAATAAAGAGTGGTATGAGGCCATGAATACCTTTCATTACTAAAATATTTGTACGTTAAAGAAAGTATTTGAAAGAGTAAAAGTGGTGGTTGTTATTGTATATGAACTGCGTGATGACACAAATGACAACTAAAATCCAGCCTTGAATGTAACGAAATGCCTCTTTCTGGGCGAGTCCCGGTGGATCCTTTAAGTTATCACGCCGAGATGGTTCCCAATTACCAGATTGCATTAGCCGAGGAACTTTGTTTGGCCTACTGGGGACCAGCCCGTGGTCCCCTCACAGAGGCACAAGGAACAGGTGACTGCCATCTCACTGGAAAATAATCCAGAAAGTCAGCAAACCAATACAGATCACTGCCGAGATCAAAAGAAGTCGAAGCCTCATAACCGCCAAAACAAACTCCCCCAACAATATAAACCAAACTCAAAAGATGCAGGGTCCATCACAGAGGCAAACTTTGGGTCTTGCAGGAGGTACTGGAAGAGATCCCCTGGAGCCACTGTGGAGAGACCCCGAGAGAAAGGGAAATCCCCATAAGAGAATCCCCAATGGGCGTACAGGCATGAGGAATGAACCCTGGGGAAAAGCTACACTCAGATCAAAGTCATATAGGGGGGGGGGGGGGGGGGAATATGAGAACCCCATTCCGAAAAGCAAAATACCCTCACCACAGAAAGCAAACACATAGGCTCCAGGGCAGAACCAGCATCCACGCCTTCTGCCTGGGACAGAACAGCCGTATCCAAGAAGAGGCCTGAGAAGAACGGGTTGGCTGGAAGGTAAACCTTGAAACAACGGGACAAGTTGGCTCAACTGCCTCCACACTTGAAGAGGAACGAACCACCTGCAGAGACATATCCTAAACTAAACCCTGTCCTGACCTGGAAACCCTCAAATGTTTCAGAGTCGGATGTAGGAGTGGGGGGAAAGGGGAGAGGATCAGATGCAGGACAAACCACCCCCCAAAAGGAAAGGAAGAGATGTGGATGGAGCCAAGGTGGAAGTCACCAACACTCCCAATTCAGGGTCCCTAAACATAAGGCACGCCAGCTCTGTGACATCCAAACGGGACATAACCTAGGCTGCTGAAGATAGGCAAAACAAACCTGCCAAGCAGGAGCTGCCTGATAAGCATGAACTTCATCTAGAGGGTCTGAGAAAAGCGCCACATGGGGAGAGCCAATCCTACAGGACTCAGGATTGTAGGTGTCTCTGACCCAGTAGGCAGAGTGGCAGAGGCAGAGAGAATGATCATCGCCTCGTGGCACAGATGATTAGCAACCCTCAAACTAGTACAAAGTGAGAAAGGATTTAGAGGAAATACCCATAGGGCACAATGATCCTGTGAGGAATTCCCAGGGCCTGAAGGGTAAACTAAGCAGGACACCCAGGCAATTTTTTTTTTTTCAGGGATATTCCTGCATGGGCCCTAAGCCTCTGGCTGGCCCACTAAGTGTTGCTTGTTTCTGTTTTACTTGGGCGGAGTATGAGTATTTATGACTCTTATGGTCGCTTCAGTAAGATTTTTGCCATATATCCAGGCAATGGAGACACAATGCCAGATCTGAAAGTAAACCAACACAGCCTGTGCTACACAGCTGGGAAGGCCGACTTCAGTGTGCAGTATGTATAGTACAAGAGCGTAAATCACCTGTGCACTCCAACGAGCCAAGCACACTCCCAAACCGGGGCTGAGACAGGGATGGGGGGTGCAAGAAAACCCCTCGACTCGCCCATGGCGAGGGCCCTCCCAAATGGAACGGCCCTCTAAGAGAGAGAGCTCCTGAACACACTAAAGAAGAGACTGCTGTCACTGTCAGTACAGGGGATATGCTAGAGAGCTCACGGGGACAGTAGCACTGAGCATTGACAGCTCCAAGTGCAATAAAAGCCAGGTCAATGCATCACCTAAACAACACACAACAAAAGGCCACACAGAACAAAGTCCAAGAAAGGTTGGCATTTAGCTGAAAAGCATTAGGATCTGCCACAGCGTGCTGATGACCCAGGAGCCCTATAGCAGATGTTGTTTCCATTCTGCATAAGGGACAGAACTGAGGCCATTAGCCAGTGGACAGCACAAGCCCTGGTGTTCCCTCATCTAGTGGGAGGGGTGAGGCAAGCACACATTTGTTTCCAGAGATTTGCTCGTTTACATTGTTGGGGAAGTTTTTTTGGCAGTTTTGAGGCTTTAGTCTCTTTGAACCCAGCAATGGTCTGTAATGGTTTGCCAAGTTTCTAGATGCTTTCCCAGTGAGGTGGCCGAGTGTCACCTGCTCCATGTGCCTCTGTGAGGGGGAGAAGCCATGTTCTGGCACTCATCCCTAGTAGGCCAAATGGAACTCTATGGGTGATGCAACCCTAGTATTTAGGAGCCATCACGGTGAGATATCGTCTTGGAGCCACTGGGGCTCACCCAGAAAGAGCCATTTCATATCATTCAGTGCTGTTTTTTCCAGGCAGAGGAACTTAAGCATCATCATCCAGTCATTGATTCCCTTTGGTAAAATGGAGTGTTTATTCACCAGATGTGTGTGGACAGCAAATCCAAACTCACAGCATTTGTTCGTGCTTTGCCCATTCCAGAAAAAGGTATAATATGAAATTCCCTCCTTCTGAAATGTAATTATATAAGTACTCTAAATGCACTAGAATTTTTTTTAATTTTTATATCATGGACAACGCAGAAATACAGACATATGAGCATATATATATATACAGTGGCACCTCAACATACGATTGCCCCTACTTACGATAATTTCGAGTTACGATGTAAATTTCATCGAAAAATGCGACTCGACATCCGATGGTGTCGTCGACTTCCGATATTTGTTGGTACACGTTCGGGTCGACCGAGCGCGTGGTTCCCAGTCACGCGGCCGACCTGCCTCAGTTTACTACAGCTGCCCGCTTAGTGACGATCGCGCCTATAAGAAATTCCGCTTTTGTGGTGATTTTTTGCATTTTGAACATTAAAGTAATTATTATATATCAAGCCATGAGTCCCAGGAAAGTCAGTGGTAAGGCTCAACATATGAAAACCCATGTAAGGATGACCATAGAGCAGAAACAAGAGTACAGAATGTCTCTTCCTCAACAATTAAGAAAATGTGTGCAGCATGGGAAGAATTGCAAACCTTTGCTGAAACGACTCGCCCAAATCAAGCTGCAGTAGGTCGTTGCCTTAACCTATTCAATGACACTGTGATGCATCATTACAGACAAATGTTAAAACGAAGGGAAAAACAAATGTCTCTTGACAAATTTGTAGCGAGACAAACAAGCACTGAACCACAACCAGGTCCTAGTGGTATTCAGGCAAAACGTAGGAGAGAGAGTACCCCAGAGAAAACATCACTGCCTGATGTGATAATGGAAGGGGACTCCCCTTCCAAACAGTAACAACTCTCCTCCTCCCCCCTCATCACCATCTTCCATACACCATCAAGAGCCCTCCATAAAGGTAAGAGAAACTTTGGTACTGTATTGTAGTTAGAAAAAAACATTGTATTCAGTATAAAATGTATTTGTATGTTAATATTTTGGAGGGTGGGGAACGGATTAATTCAATTCCCTTTATTTCTTATGGGAAAAATCGCTTCGACTTACGATATTTCGACTTACGATCCGTCTCTGGGAACGGATTAGCATCGTAAGTCGAGGCCCCATTGTATATATGCAAAACCTTCTGCCAGCCGCAATACATCACTGTGATCACCCCTCTGTGGACAATGATTATATTGTATTATTGGACGTAATCACCCCTCTGTGGACAATGATTATATTGTATTATTGGATGTGATCACCCCTCTGTGGACAATGATTATATTGTATTATTGGATGTAATCACCCCTCTGTGGACAATGATTATATTGTATTATTGGACGTGATCACCCCTCTGTGGACAATGATTATATTGTATTATTGGATGTGATCACCCCTCTGTGGACAATGAAGACACTGTATTACTGGATGTGATCACCCCTCTGTGGACAATGAAGACACTGTATTATTGGACATGATCACCCCTCTGTGGACAATGAAGACACTATTATTGGACATGATCACCCCTCTGTGGACAATGAAGACACTGTATTATTGGATGTGATCACCCCTCTGTGGACAATGAAGACACTATTATTGGACATGATCATCCCTCTGTGGACAATGATTATATTGTATTATTGGACGTGATCACCCCTCTGTGGACAATGAAGACACTATTATTGGACATGATCACCCCTCTGTGGACAATGAAGACACTGTATTATTGGATGTGATCACCCCTCTGTGGACAATGAAGACACTGTATTATTGGACATGATCATCCCTCTGTGGACAATGAAGACACTATTATTGGACATGATCATCCCTCTGTGGACAATGAAGACACTGTATTATTGGACATGATCATCCCTCTGTGGACAATGAAGACACTGTATTATTGGACATGATCATCCCTCTGTGGACAATGAAGACACTGTATTATTGGACATGATCATCCCTCTGTGGACAATGAAGACACTGTATTATTGGACATGATCATCCCTCTGTGGACAATGAAGACACTGTATTATTGGACATGATCATCCCTCTGTGGACAATGAAGACACTGTATTATTGGACGTAATCACCCCTCTGTGGACAATGAAGACACTGTATTATTGGACGTAATCACCCCTCTGTGGACAATGAAGACACTGTATTATTGGACGTAATCACCCCTCTGTGGACAGTGAAGACACTGTATTATTGGACTATCCTGTTATGCATTTCATATACGTTACTCCAAGGTTGCATGTCAACTTTAACTTTTTATTTATAAATTCTTATCTATCATGTACAGTATATATTAAACCTGTATTAAAAGTTGGTTCATCTCTCACATTCAATGCCATACATGTTGTGTGGAGTATGTTAACACAACTCTTAAAGAAAATAGGAGACAAAATACAAATGCATTATATAAGCAAATAGATTTGTAAACCAAAACCCCCGACTGTTTATACTCTACTGCCACTGCTGCAGATGTAAATTAGTAAACCAAAACACCTGTTTATACTCTACTGCCACTGCTGCAGATGTAAATTTATAAACCAAAACACCTAACTGTTTATACTCTACTGCCACTGGTATCTTGAGGTTATCTTGAGGTGATTTCGGGGCTTAGCGTTCCCGCAGCCCGGTCCTCGACCAGGCCTCCTTTTTGTTACACACCTCTAGAAAGCAGCCCGTAGCAGCTGTCTAACTTCCGGGTACCTATTTACGGATAGATGAAGAGGGTCATCAGGGTGAAATAAATTCTGCACATTTGTTTTCGCCTCCGCCCGGGGATCGAACCCGGAACCTTAAGACTACGAATCCCGAGCGCTGTCCACTGTCAGGCGCCCTGTTTTTGTCAGGGACGAGAAGTCGCCTAGTTTTTGTTTTTGTAAGAGGTGAGAAGTCCACTGTGCCGCTCCCCCGCAGGACGGGCGGTCGGCAGTGGATGGATAGGTGGGCAGCAGTGGTCGGGCAGGTGTCAGTGTGTGCAGGTGGGCAGTAGTGAGATGGTTGGCAGAGTGGGCATAGTTGGAATGCAGGCAGCAGAACAGGTGGGTGGCAGATGGTTGACTAAGGAGGTGGGTGAGAATGCATAGGGGGATGAACATGAAAGGAATGTATAACTGTTTTATTGAAAACAATTTTTCCTTTCAAGTTTAAATTTGATATACAGTACTGAGACTGAGTTTTAAGATGAATCTGAGCAATGAAAATGAGGCCGAGGCTTACAATAAATCTGACCAGTGAACATGAGGCCGGGGCTTACGATAAATCTGACCAGTGAACATGAGGCCGGGGCTTACGATAAATCTGACCAATGAACATGAGGCCGGGGCTTACGATAAATCTGACCAATGAACATGAGGCCGGGGCTTACAATAAATCTGACCAATGAACATGAGGCCGGGGCTTACGATAAATCTGACCAGTGAACATGAGGCCGGGGCTTACGATAAATCTGACCAGTGAACATGAGGCCGGGGCTTACGATAAATCTGACCAGTGAACATGAGGCCGGGGCTTACGATAAATCTGACCAGTGAACATGAGGCCGGGGCTTACGATAAATCTGACCAGTGAACATGAGGCCGGGGCTTACGATAAATCTGACCAGTGAACATGAGGCCGGGGCTTACGATAAATCTGACCAGTGAACATGAGGCCGGGGCTTACGATAAATCTGACCAGTGAACATGAGGCCGGGGCTTACGATAAATCTGACCAGTGAACATGATACCAAAGCTCAAGATAAACCCAACCACAGAACCTAATTAACAAATATAACCCAATCCCGAGTTAAAAACTGTGAATAGTGATACGTTGTTCAACAACTTGTGGCCATCACGCCTTCGTCCAAAATAAACATTATAATATACCACAGTCAAATACGTAAGCATACCTGATGAAGATGGAGATGATGGAGGTCTCCAACACCAGGGTCACGTTTGTTGGCACTAATGGTGGCATTGGAGTTGGAGAGAGCATTTCTCCAAGCAGTCAACAGCTGCAACAGCATCCTCACTCCGTTATCAAGCAGCTGGGGTGATGTGTCTCCTACTTCTTTTACTATAAACTGAATGAAGCCTGGAACAGCAAGAATTTTAGAGGTAAATAAATTATTGTAGGAATTTTGGACACATGATCTAGGGAGTAAACATTTGTTACACAGTCCAGCATGATCACTGCTGTTACAAGCCAATGATTAACAAGAAACATTAGCCAATTTTAAGCAGTTAAAATTTAAAATACTATTGTTAGTATGTCTTTAGAATGAACCCAAACATAAATACACAAACATTTATGAATAAACTATTTTCATTTGAATTTTATACTATAATTTGACTATAGAGTTATCAAAGTAAGAACAAGATTCAATAATGCAGTGTATTACTGGAATATGTGAACAGGTTCAAGTCATGAGCAAGGAAGGATGACTGAGCACCAGTCCTTAACTGTTTCCTTAACTTTGAATTAAATTAACTGGGAAAACTGGTTGTAAACTTAGTTTAGGATTGTATTCCAGAGACAACTAATAGACAAAGGCTTAAATGAGCTGTGGGGAAGGAAGAGTGCTAAGCCTGTTAACAATAGAAAAACATTTGCTCTCATATCTTACTCTTAAGAAAAACAAAATCGAAATGATTATTTACCATAAACAACATCATGCCGCCATTCAGGGAAATCCAGCACAAGGTTCTGAAGGCTTTGAAAGGCTAATGCTCTCAGTTCTTCATCCATGTGAACAGTGAGCCGCCCAAGCATGTCGACTAGATCCCTGCCAGACATCCCATCTGGTATGAGTCTAGGAACAGCAGCCACACAAGTTCTGAACAGGTCAATCTTAGGCTTGCGTTCTCCTGTGATCATCTCGTCTGGTTCCTAAAATTATAATTATTAATTATACAATTTATATATTTTAACTATTATTGTAATACAATGTATAAATAACATATGATTATCATAACATTCATATTCTTTACCAAGGCTTCGCACAAACTTTTTCAAGCCAGAAAGACCAGGATCACAATGCAGTCCATTTCCTTATGTAATATATAAAAATAGTGCTATACTATTTGGGGTCATCAGTCAGAGAGTTCTTGTTGCCTACCAGGAACCAGAGCCAGAACCTGGCCCACTCAGAGAGGCGCAGGGGTGCACACAGCATCTCTCCTTCAAACATTCACGATACCTTTGAGGGCTTTAAGAAACCACTGTTACATGGCACGCATTTAGATCAGGATGGTCTCCCAGTCTTAGAGGAGGATCCAGAGGGAGTTTTCCTTTACAGTACACATCACAGTAAGGCGAACAGATTAGAGGCGAAGTGACGCCATCATACACAGGTAAACAGAGACCATCCTGGCCCCACGCGTCCTCAGTATCAACATCCTCTGCTCAACGAAAGTATGACAAATTCTCCTGGTTGCAAACGTTCATCTTTGACATTGATGACAATAAGTCCAAAGATAGGAGTGTTTTTGGAAATAGCAGGGCACAAAGTATCCTATATCATGCTATTCCCAAGATATTTATGATCAAAGTGTATGATATCAGACCAAATAAACAATGGAACTTAATCATAATGTACCAAAAACACAGCGAGGAACTAGAGCTTTCAGATGTTACTGGCATCTGTGGATATACAAAGTCAAATGCCACAAATCACTAGGTGACCGATTAGCCAAATATGTAACCTGACATGTTGAAGACATTAGTGCAGACGACATCAAGGCACAACTTCAGGCAGATGACATTCCAATCTTCGGAGTCCAAAAATGTATGTGTAGAACAAGTGGAGAACTGAGTGATACAGGCAATGCCCTACTTACTTTTCTAGACTACTTTTTCCCCAATCAGATTTGGATTAACAGATTACTCCATAAACTAGAGGTGTACGTGCCATGTCCCATTCAGTGCTTCAGACGTAAAGGTTTCAACTGTACCTCAAAAGGCTGCACCAAAGACATTAAATGTGGGAAATGCTCTGGTTCCCATTACACACAAGACTGTGCATCCGATATACTCACCTGCTCAAACTGTGGTGGCAATCATGACATTACATTCAAACACTGTCCTTCATTCATAGTGGCAAAAACTAAGGTTCTCCCTACCACCAACCTGCAATACAGTAGTGCATTGAAACAACCTAACTCAGCCCATCATCAACCACTACCTCACACTCAACCACAGTCTTTGCTTGTACCCGATATGTCTGTTACCGACAAACCTGTAACCCCAGAGTCCAATCCTCTCCAACAAAATGTACAACTGAGTGCCGATCTTGTTGAAACACTTGTCACTCGGCTTCAAAATGCACTAGAAAACACTCTGGACCGACTCCTAACTAAATTCTTTATACAAGTAAACCAACCCATCCCTGATGCTGACCCAACACACACCTCATCAACATCAACAGAGAATGACATCCAACCCAACACAGCTACCATTGATGTATACAAATCGTTTGAATTAATGCTGGACAAACTCCTAAATAACAACTTGGCACACCTTACCCAAGTCATTCCTCAAGCGACCAGCAGGCTCACATAGCCACCACAGCCCGGTTGGTTCGGCTCCTTGTAGAAAACAATCTAGTTTTCTCTTGAAGATGTTCACAGTTGTTCCAGCAATATTTCTTATAATCTCTGGGAGGATGTTGAACAACTGTGGACCTCTGATGCTACTCATATGTCTATTTTTCTCATTATTCTCACACAAATAGAAGACATCAATAACTTCCAACATCTGCCAAATTCTGAACATTGATGCGCCACCGAAAGTGCCGCATCTATCAACATCACCACTCATGTAGTCACCGGGAGAAAAAAACCTTCATGCAAACTGCTTGTATCACAAGGATGATGCAGACGACCTCATTTTGTATGCCATTACTCCATGGTCACATTTATCAAATGCCTTTGTGCAGTCCATGTATACCACATCTGCATTCTGTTTTTCTTCTAATGCCTCTAAGATTTTGTTGTAGTGGTCAAGTAGCTGTGAGAGGCATGATCTTCCCACTCTAAATCCATGTTGGCCTGGGTTGTGGAGGTCATTGATCTCCATGAAACTGGTGACCTGACTCCTGATCACTCTCTCAAAAGACTTTTATTATGTGGGACGTTAGTGAAACTGGTCTATAATACTTTGCCAATGCTTTGCTCCCTCCCTTGTGTAGAGGGGCTATGTCTGCTGCTTTAAGTGCATCTGGTATCTCTCCCGTGTCCAAGCTCTTCCTCCACACTATACTGAGTGCCAGTGGTACCGACACTTTTCATTTCTTTATAAATATTGAATTCCATGAGTCTGGACCACGGGCTGAGTGCATGGGCATGTTGTCACTTTCTCTTTCAAATCTACCGCACTCATAGAATTCCACACAAGGCCTAGCCAAGTCTGAAATAGGGACAAAACCAACTGGGACTTCCGCCAGTTCAAATGGAACCCAAACCTGATGAGCTGGGAAAGAGCCAGATCACTGGCTAGCAGACAAGCAGACCGGCTGAGAGCCCACACCAATCAGTCGTCGAGATAGGCCAAGACCTGAAGAAGGCCCACCACAACCCGAGTTAAGTGCATAAAAATGCAAGGAGACAACAAAAGCAGTAAGCCTATCATCCCACCACAAAACCTAACCAATGCCTGAACCTGGATGGATAGGGACATGCCAATACGCATCCTTGAGGTCCATGGAAATCATCCAAGCACCTGGATCAAGAATGAGCTGGACCTGGGACAACGTGGTCATCTGAAAGGAGGAGCAAGGAATTAACCGGTTCAGATTTGACAAGTCCAGAATGAACCGGAGATCTGCACAGCCCCATTTCAGAACTAGAAACAGGCAGGTGACCCACCTGAGAGAGGAGATCATTTCGACCCCACCCAAGTGAACCCACTCCAAGATGACCCAATGGATGGATGGGGAAGAAACCTGCTATCCCTAAACCCGACCTCCTGAAGGGAAGAAGGGCCGCTCAATGCCGCAACAAACAACCCAAAAAGTCCACGAAGTCGTGGGATTAGGCATAGGCAAAAAGAGCCAGCCTCTCCCTCATTGACCCGTCAACGAGGCAACCAGCGAAAGGGCCAGGAGCAACCACCCGGATAACCAACAAGTCTGAAATAGGTCGGCAACTAGCAAAAGCCACCAACAGAAACTGGGCAACACAGTCCTCCGGGTGTAAGGTACGGGATTGAAAGCCATACCCTAAAGTACACAGAGGACATAACGGCAAAGAAGACTGAAGAGCCAGGACCCAAGCCGAATCTAATGACAGAGCTAGCATAGTCTGATGACACACAAGACGAGAAGTAAAAAACTTAGAAACTGCTTCCCAGAAGATCAGTGCAAACAGTTTCAGCAAGGGAGACAATACGGAAGCAGCCAAGACCAAGACTCGAGCTAAGGGCAACCCCCCCTCACCCTGCACGCCCACATCCTCTGAAAGCCAATCTGAAGACAGCTCCAGAAGACTAAAGAAATGCAAAACCGTGGCCAAATGACCGCAAGTCCGAAAGTCCTCTGTCACCAAAGCAGCCGCCGAAAGAGTGGGGACCTGAGCACGCAGCTGCACCACACCAACATCAAGAGGAAGTGCAGGAGTGAAGAGGCACTCATTGAGAAACTCAAGAACCCCCCCCCCCCCCCTCCTCCCCAAGAACACCTGCAACACCGCGGTAACTTCCCGCCACTCAAGTGTGCTGGTACAACAAAAGCCTCGCCAAGCTCCAAGAGAGAAAAGGGGACAGGAAGACTCCGGAACCTCGCAACGCACCCAACATGGGGAAGACGAGCCAAACTTAAACACAGCCACCAGGCACCTCTGACCATCTCTGCCTACAATGAGCAAATATGAGAAAGGTCACAACAACAAAAACACTAGGGAAATCAAGAGAAATATTTGGTAACAGGCAAATTGCCAACCAAAACCCAAAACAACAGAAATCCTACTTTGCCAGCTCCCATCATCACTAAATGGCAGTGCCAGTCACCCAGGATTGAGTGAAGTGACCCACCTACTCTTACTTGGCATTCTCCTGACCTGACCTGACCTGTTCCTGCAAGGATTAGTTTGTGTGCTTTAGTGACTAGCTATGTTTTGAACTTGAGCTCCATGAGGGCATTCTCGTACTGGTTATTTCTTAAACCTGTGTGTTTGGGGTTGGTCAGAGACCGAGCCATGGACACGTTGATCCTTGGAATCATCGACAGGTAACTGACTTCATTCACTTTGTCTTTGAGTAGAGTTGTCTCCTTAATGACACTGGCAATGATTAACACCAGAGATACATTCTTTGAGGTTTCCATTGCTTTTCCCACAGGGTGGATTCCTTTTGAGTCTTTTCCTTGTTGTAAAATGCTACAGGATTCGGTCCTCAAGGCAAGATCTGTTGACAGAAGTCATATATTTACAACAGTTATTAGTCTGTGGAATACCTTTCTTTTCCAATGCAAGCCTGGTTTGTCAGTTTGGTTAATTTGGTTCAAAATTGCATTCTTATGTAGATTTATTTACCTCTTGCTGCTGGTGGGGGTTTTCATTAGCTCTCCCACCCAGCTTTGTGCTTGCATATGCTGCTTGCAACAATCTGGGGTGTGGTGTAGTACTTTGAAATCTGACAGGTTCCATCTTTTCCACACCACTACTCTTGCTGGTTTCCTGGCCTAGTTATGCCTTCTTGCACTTGATGGTCCTTTCAAAGTATTGTTCAGAGGTTTGGATAAATTATCTGTAGCAGAAAATTGGTGCATCTTCTTTAGTTGCAAGGGACCTTTCCTGCAGGCTGTGATGAACTTACACTGGCACACTGGGAGCAGGGGCCTGTTTTTATGTTTTCACTCAACATTCCTGGTAGTTCTGGGCTCCTCATGCCTTTTCTCATCAGTACAAGATGGTATTTAGTCTGCCAGATGTATACTACCTGTCTCACATCTGCCTGTTCCTACCAGTGCTCTCTTATAGGAAGTGTGCAGTCCATGCCCATAAGGGATGCTGTTTCCCCAAGTTAACTCTTCATGTAGTCAATCTGCTTTGTTGGTGCGGTTGGCACTTGTTTTGCTGCTTGAAGCTTTACAGCATATTTTTTTATGGTATGTTTGCCGCCATTGGAAATTCCTCGTGTGGTGGGATTCTTCTCTTTCTGGTCAAAGTTTCATTCGGTGAAATTTTTGCTCACTGCCCAGAGAAGCACAGTTTGCTTCTCAGGTGGCAGGCCAACTTGACTTTCCTAGCCAGTTCCATGCCTGCTTAGGTCACTCTCCATTTTCCTAAGCATAAAGTGTATCACACCACACAAAAACAATAATATTAACTGACATTTAAATTCTGAATACATTATAAAAAATATCGCAAAACATGGAGTCACGTCCAACAGTGCCATAAATAGCCATGACACAGTCCTCACTATTGCTTGGGATGTGTGTGGCACACTCTGGTCCTGGGCCTTGTCCTACTGGATCAAGGGTCAACCTTTTGTTTTAAGCGTGCCAGGGAGACCGTGGTTCTCCACCTTCCATTTTACGACACCTTTGATTGTGAAAAACTTGGTTAGCTGAACTATGTTATAATTCAAATGTTGGTATCTGATGGCACGAGTGACAGGCAACTGAACAAGTCAATCAGGAGCATGTTTGGGCATTCCGTAATCTTAGGTCTGTCATGGAAGGCTTGCAAAGGCTTAGTGTGTGTGTACGATTCAAGTTTTTGAAACGGCTGACTTTAGCTGGATGATCACTTCAAGTGTTCCCCAGTACTCTACACAGAGCTTCGAAAAGTTATCTGTGGAGCCAGAACCTTGTGTGTAGCACTGCTTTACTGCATGATTGCACTTTGATAGAAGGGTGCATCCAAGTGGAAAAGCATAGAAAATACCCATTCATTTATCCAAAAAGAATCTATAAACTTACCTTGTTGACATTTTGTGTGTTTGTCATCATGAGGGGCCGACCAAACTGACTGTCAAGGGCCTTCAGGATGTCATTGAAAGATTTGCGAACAAGAGGATAGTATGCAGATATTCCAATATTTCTTGCAGTGTCCTCTGTGAGCATCTGAGGATGTAAAGAGGCATTTAATGTCACAATATCTTATTTAATTTTGTTCATTTATACATTACAACAAATGCGAGAAAAATTACAGTCATTATTCCTCCACCACACAATCAAAGGATCATCCCATGAAAAGGACAGTTCGAGCAATAGCAGGTCTTCCCAAGGCAAAGAACAAAACCTCTGCTAATGAAAAGAGGGAAATTGATGCAGAAAAAACTTCTTCGGGATTGAAGCACATATCAGCACAAATATACAGTACAGCTGTACTGTATTTGCGAAGTTAAGACTCCCGCACAGCTACTCGAACAACTGACGAGTGACCCGGGTGCCCTCCAATAACAGTCATAGGCTGGACCACAGGCGCAGCAACGCTGCGGGAGGAACAGAGAGACAAAGAAGCGGTCCGAGAGTCCCACACAAGACCCAGCCAAGGCCGAATCTGAGAGGGAACCAATTGGGACTTCCTCCAGTTCATCAGGAACCTGAACCCAGCGAGCTTGGAAAGAACCAAATCCCTGGTGAGCAAACACGCGGACTGGCTGGGAGCCCAGACCAGCCAGTCGTTGAGGTAAGCCAAAACCTGAACCCCAAACAGACGCAAACGGCCACCACAACACGGGTAAGGCGTGTGAACACGCGAGATACCAGATTAAAGCTGGATGAAAGGTAACGAAAATGGTAAGCCTGTTGCCAAACAACAAAACCGAGCCAGTCACTGAACCCCCGGATGAATCGGGACATGCCAATATGCGACCCAGAGGTCCAGGGACAACATCCAAGCGCCCTGTTCCAAAAGCAGTCGGACCTGGGACAGAGTGGTTATCCAAAACGTCAGGCCCACCTTGAGGAGAGCTGGGGTGCACACGTCGGGCAGCTCAAAGTGTTCAATTGAGAAAATTAAAGCAAAAACACGTAACATTTTCACACACAAAATTTCCACATACAATGCACATTGAATAAACAAACTTCTCAGGATAAATTATTACTTGAACACTGATGTATCACTTTCCAAAGGCTTATGACTTAAGATTAAAGACAATTAATTACTGTATATATATTTCTCAAGAACATAATATGGAAACTTACCATTTTGTTTCCTAAAACAACATACTTGTACTGTTTTATAGAAGACTAAAATAGAGACAAATAAATAACATTCAAACAGGTAGTGAGCTAGGGAACAATGATTACAAAGAAATCAAGACCAGATGACTAACTACATTAGCAGGCTATCTTGAGGTTATCTTGAGATGATTTCGGGGCTTTTTAGTGTCCCCGCGGCCCGGTCCTCGACCAGGCCTCCACCCCCAGGAAGCAGCCCGTGACAGCTGACAAACACCCAGGTACCTATTTTACTGCTAGGTAACAAGGGCATAGGGAGAAAGAAACTCTGCACAATGTTTCTCGCTGGCGCCTGGGATTGAACCCAGGACCACAGGATCACAAGTCCAGCGTGCTGTCCGCTCGGCCGACCGGCTCCCTAGGAGCTTTCCTTTCTCAAAGCTCAAGGTAAGCCTTGCCTAATACTTTCCCTGAAACATAACCTGCCTATCGATTAACCACCAGGTACCCGATTACTGCTGAGTGAACAGGAGGCGAACAGTTAAGGATGGGGCCTATTAAATCCTCCCAAGCCAGGACCTGAATCTAGACCAAATCGTTCACAAGGTGCAGTGCGAGTGCGTTACCACTGCACCACTCCTCCACGAGCTAACACAACATGGAAAAATTGTGAGATAGAAAACTCTGTTAGGGTTAGGCTGGTTTTTGAGGGATTGATGAATTATTTAGGAGGGGTAGATTAAGTGAACCTGAAGATTGAAGGTGGGCCATTCTTGTGATGTGAAGTCACTCCATTGGTGGGTGACTTGACACTAGATTGTAGTGTAGATGCTCCTCAGGGGGTTTCCATCTACTTCCTGTCTTGCAGCATCAGGTACCCAACTCTGCAGCTCCAGAAAGTTTTTCCCTGCATGTCACTTTTGCATAAAATTATTGTCTCTGCATCACTTATACCTCAGGAAGCATACAAAAGAAAAACAAGAATGTTTGGATGCTCTTATTCACCTCCTGAGTAGATAATTGTCCTGGGTACAGTTTTCTTTGACTTAAAATGACAGTAGTTTGAGGTTAGGAACCTGGGGCCAGATTCACGAAGCAGTTACGCAAGCACTTACGAACCTGTACATCTTTTCTCAATCTTTGACGGCTTTGTTTACAATTATTAAACGGTTAATGAGCTCCGAAGCACCAGGATAATAACATGTGTATAATAGTAACAACAGTTGATTGGGAAGTTTTCATGGTTGTAAACTGTTTAATAAATGTAACCAAAGCCGTCAAAGATTGAGGAAAGATGTACACATTCGATACCTGCTTGATGGGGTTCTAGGAGTTCTTCTACTCCCCAAGCCCGGCCTGAGGCCAGGCTTGACTTGTAAGAGTCAAGCTTGGCAGCCTGTCCACCAGGCTGTTGCTTGGAGCGGCCCGCATGCCCACATACCCACCACAGCCCGGTTGGTCCGGCACATTTTTTAGAAAACAGTCTAGTTTTCTCTTGAAGATGTCCACGGTTGTTCCAGCAATATTTCTTATAGTTGCTGGCAGGACATTGAACAACCGCGGACCTCTGATGCTTATACAGTGTTCTCTGATCGTGTCTATGGCACCTCTGCTCTTCACTTGTTCTAATCTGCATTTTCTTCTATATCGTTCACTCCGTACGTTCGTAAGTACTTGAGTAACTGCTTTGTGAATCCGGGTCCTGGTGTTAGCATGAGTACTGCTGGCACCAGGAGGCCAGATTCACAAAGCAGTTATGCAAGTACTTACGAACGTGTACAACTTTCCTCAATCTTCGACGGCTTTGGTTACATCTATTAAACAGTTTACAAGCATGAAAACTTGCCAATCAACTGTTGTTATTGTTATAAACAGCCTCCTGGTGCTTCGGAGCTCATTAACTGTTTAATAATTGTAAACAAAGCCGCCAAAGATTGAGAAAAGATGTACAGGTTCGCAAGAGCTTGCGTAACTGCTTCGTGAATCTGGCCCCAGGATTATTGAGATTGCCTCAAAGCTCCCAAAATGTACTCTCTGGGAAGGGGGACATGAGAGGTATCAAATAATATATACATGGAAGATACTGGAGGGGCCAGGGCCCCAAATTTACACAGTAGAATAGCAACATACTGAAGCAAAAGATTCGGAGTGAAATGCAAAATAAAGCCAGAGAGGACTAGAGGTGCAAAATGCACAATCAGAAAGCACTGTCTGAACATCAGCGGTCCACAGCTGTTCAACACCCTCCCAGCAAACATTAGAAATGTTGTGTGAACAAAGGTGGATGTCTTAAGAAGCACTGAGGTAAGTTCTTGCAAGAAGTGCTGGACCAACTGGGTTGTGATATGGACCTGCAGGCTGCTGCAAGCAACAGCCTGTTGGACCAAGTTATCACAAGTCGATAGTAGTGATAAGGGAAAAGAAGAACTCCTGGAACCCTCTCCAGGCATGCCCTAGGTATGCTGTCTGGTAATGACCAGGTGGTTAACTAATGGGTTGACGACAGAGAACCTTGGCAGTCTATTATGTCAAATAGGGCTACGAAAGGCTTGAGTATTTATGAATGAACTTTGAGTAATCACTCTGAGCTGGATTGTGCTTTTCTCCGATCCTTTTCTACTCCCAATATAACCCAACAGAGACATATAAAAGGTACACAGTCGGGGAAATTTATTTATTTATTTATTTATTTATTTTTATTTATGTATATATACAAAAGTTCTTGCAGTCTTGTGAAGCCACTAGCACACATAGCATTTTGGACAGGTTCTTAATCCCTTTTTTTCCAAGGAATATGACCCGCCAAATCTTTTAACAACCAGATAACCATTTTACTGTTGGGTAAACGGAGGCTACAGTTAAGGATTGGCACCCAGTCAGGGTATGAACCCAGGTCAAAGTGCTCGCAAAGCGCCGGGCGAGTCCTTTACAACTACACTACGAGGACTGTAATACAGAATGTCACCTTGACCTGGCCCTCCTCAGCCTCTCCAACAGGAGAGGATGAGGAGGACCAGGTCAAGTAACCTTGTAACCTTCAGTAACCTTCAGTAACCTTGCCTCAGCATCTGAGCATCTTGTTCAAAAAGTAGCTTTCCATATTCTGCCAAAGGCAAAACTTGTTCAGCTTTATGCCACACATTAGAAGATAGAGTTTTGTTTTGCTGACAGTGGCCAACAACTGATGAAAATACCTATTTTAAGGAAAAGTCAAGACTGATAATATGTTATTAGCTTTACCCAGTTAAAAACTAAGTTTAACTTTGTTCTTACTCTGAATGGTTAATTAGAGGACATGAACATGACTGAATTATGCTTTGCTGCTTACAGATCCTGAAATGGGATTTAATGAGATGAGTCCTTGATTTAGTATGATCTATAAAATTCACATAAATACTCATATCAAGAAGAATGTCTATAGAAGCAAATGACCAGTATATAGAAAAGTAGAAGGAAGCAGGAAAAAGAAGTAGTATAGAACAGGATAAACTAAGAAAAACAGCTTTTACAGAGGGAGCAATGTAGAGGTCGAGAAAATTTGGCAGAGTTCTGGGTGGTGGCTGCAATGGGAAGCTTGTCACAGAAGACTCATCAACAGGGCAAATAGTATCCCATTGTACCCCAATGCATTTCAGCAAACTGGTAAGCTTTCCAAAGAAGAAAACTAGCCAATATGACATCTTTCTTAATTCAGCTTTATGTAATTCTGAATACAGTCCTGCATTGGCACTGACATAAATCTTAATTACGCCTTACTTACCATCACCAAAAATAAGACTCGAGCATCGGGTGTCACACACAACACTTACTTTATTCAAAAATGTTTTCTTTACTCTTAGTGTGTTGCCAGATGGGAGAACGCCAACTGTTCGAGGCATCGGTGGATCCCCTTCCTTCTGCTGCAGACTATCGGCAACAACTAAGAATGCTCGAAGACCAATTGACATTCGCTCAGGAGTCATGATGATCTTTATTTGACGTCCAACGGACAGCAAGTCAAATACAATCTCCCGCATGGCAAAGTCTAGACGCTCCTGTTGAGAAATCAACATGTCAACCAAAACTTTTACTGTAACAAAAATACTCAAGACCAAGCAAATAAAAAAGTAACATTCTGTTGTTGTTGACCATAGTTGTAGGGCTTATCTATCATTGACATCAGGGAGAGTGAGATCTGACCCTTTATGCCCCGCCTTCTAGCTGTTTATACCTGACGTGCCTCTCTCTCACATCATATTTGTTTTCTTTAAGTTGTGGACATAATTGGCTTCAGCAACCTTCAATGCATTCCACTTTCCGACCACCCATACAGGGAACAAGAATTTCTTTACACCTCTTCAACTCAAGTGCGAGTCCAGCTTCCACTGATGTCCCTTTGTTCTTCCTCTTTTTAATTTAAATAAGCTTCCTTTATCCACTTTGTCTGATATCCTCAAAATCTTGTAAGAAGTGATCATATTCCCTCAGTTTCTTCTCTCCTCTAAGGTTGTGAAGGAGAGTTCTCTCAACCTCAGTCCTTAAAGCTGAGGCCTCTGAATTCTGCTACTAATTTAGTGGCAAACCTCTGAACTTTCTCACGTTCCTGTTTATGCTTCACAAGGTATGGCTTCCATGCTGGTACTACATACTCAAGTAATGATCTTACTTGGGCACAGTTTATGGACTTGAAAGCCTTCTTGAATAAATTCTTACGTGATGTTCTTGTGTTTGCCAACTTTCCATATGCTGCTAATGTTATCCTATTCACGTGAACTTCTGGAGATAATTTTGGGATAATGTCTACTTGCCACATGATCCATTTATCTACTCTGCGAGTAGATTTATAGTAATAACTCATTGTGTCGGGGGACAGGCAGCCAGAGTGTATACATACACGTTAGGCTTATATCGAGGTCCCCCCCATCCCCTGGTCGAATTACAGACCCCGCCAAGGAATGGGGTCAGTACTGACCCCACGACAAGCTTTATTTAATTTGTGTATCACCTTAAGGATACAGTATGACCAAAATTGCTGTGAAGAACAAACAGAAAAATTTATTGTTCTAAATTTCAGTACTAATGATATTCACATTACAAAATATGAAAAAGAGGACACAGAAGGGATCAAAACTTACCTGCGCTATGAACTGGATAATTTTCACAAATATATTTAGTGGGGTATCTCTCGGTACAACAGCCTTGGAGCCCTTGGGGAAGAGAGAGTTGACGATACTGGCCAGGCGGGAATGTGTGGCCGAGTTACTCTCACATTTAATGCGTATCATGTAAACCCACAACAAGCGATATAATGATTCTGCAGAAGAAAAAGGCACATCATTCAACCAATACACACAAAATACCTTGGATTTTATATCCATACAGTAATAAAAATCATATTTATTTATGGAAAATAAATCTACAGGCACCAACATGCATTCTTGTAAAAAGTAAGGAATGCCCTACATAATAGGTTGAAAGATACTCTTACAAAATCATTAATCAAGATAGAATTTAAAACTATTAAAACATTCCTTCATGGTCTTCACTTTAGTTCTAATTAATCTCATGATCATAAGAAAGGAAGTAAGAGAGATTATACATAGTTTCTGGTAACTTCAAATGCTATACTTGATCCTATATCAAAACTATTTTCTGATGTGTGTTTGCATAAAAATATATATGAAAATTACTTATCAGTGCAACCTTGATTCTGCAAACTATATGGGATCAACACTGATTTGTTACAATTGGAGATGCCTTCATGAGGCATTTGTCTGATACAAATATTTTTTTAGGACAAGAAAAACAGATTGCTATGCCTATTTCTTTCTCCTGATACTTCTTTCACCTACAAGAAAACAGCATTGAATGTAATGAAATGCCATTTTCTGGGCGAGACCCGGAGGCTCCCCGGAGCTATACCGGGCTGATGTGTATATATTAGACCGTGGCAACAGTTAATCGAAGGAGTTCTAAGCCTACTGGAGACTAGAGCCAGAACCTGGCCCCCCTTAAGAGAGGCACGAGGAGCAATGCCCTAAAGACACCCCCGTGTAATTGGAAGCAGTCTTTGTCTGCCATCTACCAGGTCAGGCACCCAGAAAGGTAGGAATTTCAAAACAAACTACTGCTGGTCAAAATTTGCAAATCAAAACCTGAACTAGCAAACAGAACTTCCCCAATCAAAAACAAGGAAACAAACATGACGTCACCACAACCGCCACACATCCATCTGCGCAACTCCCCCCCCCCTCCCCGGGATGGGGACGGGGGAGTCTCAGACCTTCACTCTGGCAACTCTCCTCAGTTTACAGACTGTTGTGATGGCGAACGCTTGATCGCTCTGGCTCCACTCTTTGCGCCAGAGTGGAAACTCACTCACAATCTTTGATTGTGTGAGCCAGAAGTAACAAGAGTACTGAGGCTGCATGCACCTAGGGCTACCTTCCCTAGGTGCCGCGTAAGTACTGCCTTTGTGGCCTCAAGGTTATCTTCCAAGAGCCGTTCAGGAGCAGCTACCTCCGTGTGGTTCTGTCCCTGCTCGGTGATTGCCTGCCCTTGGGGCTCAGTTGGATGGTTCTTACTCCTGTTTTCCCTAGGGTAGAAGGTAGTTTCGTCGCTGGCTGGAGCACGAGGTACTGTGCAGCTGTCGTTGATGTCCCTGGGCCTTGTTGGGCATGTGTGGCCTTGGGTTGGCAGTTGCGGTCTTTTGTCTCTGCTTCGCGTTGGGGAGCGAGCGACTTCCGCCTCCTGGGTTAGGTCCCTCTTGTTTTCGTCTTTGGGTAGGTAGTTCCGGAGAGCCAACGGGGCTCCCCCCAGAAAACCAGTATTGAATATAATGAAACGGCATTTTCTGGGCGAGACCTGGAGGCTCCCCGGCAACGCTCCCTCCCTCTCTCTGGTTGACGGTTTTTTTTTTTGCGTGTTTTTTATATCCAGCCTTAGAACTGTGGTGTGGATGGCCGGCACGGTGGTCTGGGGCTCCCCCTTTCCCCTCCTGGGGAGGGGGGGAGCCCCAGAAACAGTCAACTTTGACAAGTAGAATAACTACCATTCTAGGAAAATAATATGCAATGTTTCTTATATTATTTGCCTAAACAATATTTGTTTTATGCAAAGATTTTTGTTGATTTAGGAATGCATCCCATGTTTATAGCACCGTGCCATTGGGAAATCTGCATCAGAGTTCTGAACAGATAACTCACAAACTCTTTGGAACTCTTGTTAATACAATTTACAAAGCCCATGTTACATACTTATTGCTCATTTACACAGCTACCTCATGCAAAATGAGAAAATAAAGAACACACATAAAATACCTATGATCTGAAACACAAACAGCAGGAACCAAGATTAACACCTTCCACTATCTAACAATATAATTTTAAAACCATTAATAAGTGATATCTTTACGTTTGAAGCATTATGAACCACTTTAATTCTTCACAACCCACATACAGGATTTTTTTTTTTAGATGATTTCGGGGCTTAGCGTCACCGCGGCCTGGTCCTCGACCAGGCCTCCTTTTTGTTACACATCCCCAGGAAGCAAGCAGCCTGTAGCAGCTGTCTAACTCCCAGGTACAGTGGTACCTCGGAATGCGATTGTCCCTGTATGCGAGGTTTTCGGAAGGCGAGGTGTATTTACTCCAAAAATTTGTCTCGGAAGGCGATGGTTACTTCGGGAGGCGAGTTTGGACGCGAGTTTGTTGATACGCGTACAGCCGACCTAGCGCGTGGTGGTTCGGCGATCGTCGCCCCTCCGCCCCTCAGTTTATTATTGTCTCGCGCTCAGTGACTACCCCCACATCAATTCTTCTTGCGGATTTTCAGTGTTTTGTTGGATTTTTGGTGATTTGTCTATACAATTTGTTATTATATATCTCACCATGGGTCCCAAGAAAGCCAGTGGTAAGGATAAAGGCCAGAAAGCTCATGTGAGGATGACAATAGAGGAGAAACAAGAGATCATTCGGAAGCATGAGAACGGTACACGTGTTGTTGAACTTTGTAGGCAGTACAACAAAGCCACATCAACAATATGCACTATACTTAAGAAGAAAAATAAGATTATGGGTGCTAAAGTGGCAAAAGGAGTAAGAACATTAACGGCACAAAGACCACAAATACTTGAAGAAGTGGAAAAGTTGTTATTAATTTGGATACACGACAAGGAGTTGAGGGGTGATAGTGTTTCGGAGGCCATTATTTGTGAGAAAGCCAGGGTGTTGCACGAAGACCTTCTAAAGAATACCCCTGCAACGAGTGATGCAGATAAGAAAGAGTTTAAGGCAAGCAGGGGCTGGTTTGAAAAATTTAGAAAGAGAAGTGGTATCCATAGCGTTACAAGGCATGGGGTTATGTGATGTGATTATGGAAGGGGACTCCCCTTCCAAACAGTAACTCCTCTCCTCCTCCCCCCTCCTCACCATCTTCCATATGCCTACAGCACTCGACAGCAAGGTAAGTAATAACTGGAACACAGTTTTGTAGGTTTATTTAGATGAATTAGGTAAATTAGGTATAAAAATTTAGTTTGATGTGGGGTTTTTGGGGTAGTCAGGAACGGATTAATTCATTTCCCTTTATTTCTTATGGGGAAATTAACTTCGGAATGCGAGTTTTCGGAAGGCGAGGCGTCTCCAGGAACGGATTAAACTCTTATTCTGAGGTATGCCTGTACCTATTTACTGCTAGGTAACGGGGGGGTTCATCAGGGTGAAAGAAACTCTGCCCATTTGTTTCCGCCTCCACCGGAGATCGAACCCAGAACCTCAGGACTATGAATCCGAAGCGCCGTCCACTCAGCTGTCAGGCCCTTACGTATAATTCAAATTTTATTTCAATACAAGAACAAGCAAAACAAATATCCAAACCAATGGTCCAACACCTACCCAGAGCAACACGAGACATCTTGGGATCCCGATTTTTAAGGTGCTGAAGACACATGGCGAGGAAGTAGTGCCAGTTGCTAAGGAAAAATGTTTTCTGTGACACACACAACAAGCAAGTCACAAGGGGAAATATGGCCAAGCGGTGTTTGTTCTTTGTTGCCATATCCAGTGTTGTGGAGTACAGCATTTCTACAAAGTATTTCAAACAGGGAACATTCACCTCATTTTTCACAGTCTGCAAAGATACAAATATATGTTATAAACTAGAAATTAAAAAGCTAACAGGCATCCTATACCTGATACCACGAAACCAATACTGTGTATTGTGTTCCCGGGAACCAATACTGTGTGCAAAGATACAAATATATGTTATAAACTAGAAATCAAAAGCCTAACAGGCTTCCTATACCTGATACCAGGAAACCATTACTGTGTATGGCATTTACGGGAAACCATTACTGTGTGTGATGTTCATGGGAAACCAATACTGTATATGGCGTTCCCGGAAAACCAATACTGTGCATGGCATTCTCGGGAAATCAATATTGCGTATGGCATTCATATAATATACAAAACATAAAAACCTCAATTTTAAACAAGAATATATTACTTGCTAACTAAAAATCTAACTAAGTAAAATAATGTGTTGAGATCAGTCAGAGAGAATACCAGAGAGAGCAGACATACTAGCCAGCTCCTCCACCCAGGCAGGAGACCAGCCATAACCCACCCCTGGGTGATCTTAAGAGGCGAGAGTTCTGCAGTGGTGCCCGTCTTGATCAGTGTCTTAGTGGTGACGAGTGGAGTCTGTTGCCAGTAAGCAAGAATGGTTGAGGATGTGTGGAGTGAATTAGTTCAGTATTAAAATAGTAAGTAGACAAAGTGTTCAGAAGTGAAGAACTAGTGTTTAAATTGCTAAAGATGGAAATATTATTGGAGTATTGAAAATCCAAGGGCAGAATAACACTCTTGAGTTTTCATAATTCCTTTTTATTGAGGTCCCATTGAATAATATCTTAAAACCAGTAATGATCACAATCCTCACGAAAGTTTGAATAAAATACATCACCATGAGCTGGCAGGAGGGTGTTAGTGACTGAGGGACACAAGCGTGGCGTTGCGAGGTGTTGCGTTGCAAGGTGTTACGTCACGAGGCGTGGCATGGCAAGGTGTGACATCGCGAAGCATGGCATCGCAAGGTATGGCATCGTGAGGTGTGGCGTCACGAGGTGTGGTGTCGCAAGGCGTGGCATCGCGAGGTATGGTGTCGCAAGGCGTGGCATCACGAGGTGTGGTGTCGCGAGGTGTGGTGTCGCGAGGTGTGGTGTCGCGAGGTGTGGTGTCGCGAGGTGTGGTGTCGCGAGGTGTGGTGTCGCGAGGTGTGGTGTCGCGAGGTGTGGTGTCGCGAGGTGTGGTGTCGCGAGGTGTGGTGTCGCGAGGTGTGGTGTCGCAAGATGTGGTGTCGCGAGGTGTGGTGGCCAGAGGCGTGGCGTCACTAGGTGAATGTCTTCCCTCTCCTCGCTCCCACCACCTGCTACACACAGTACTGCCCTCCCGTCACCCATCAGGCGGGTGCCTGCTGGTTACTCAGAAACTTTAAAGTAAACAGTGCTTCTTGTCCACTATTTAGTAGATGTTAAGATTATTGCAGAATGACAGGATTATGGCAGCATTTGGTAATAAGTATCTCTTATTATTAATCCTCCTACTCCTCCATTCTCTCTTCCACCTTCCTTCTCTCTTCTACTTCAACCCTCAATTTTCGATTCTCTCCCACCCTTCTCCTGTCTGATCCTCTGTTTTCTATTGTCTCCCATCTCTACCTCAGCTCCTCCCGTTCGATCCTCCATTTTCTATTCACTTCCATCTCTACCTCAGTTCCTCCCTCAACTTCACCTGTTTTCTATCCATTCCCCCTTACTCACTCCTCTCTTATTCAATCTCTTTTCTTCCTTACTGTCTCCCTTCTCACCACTAGGAGCTGTAGAGTGTTAAAGAGGGTTGACAGCATCTGGCATTACACTCCCTAATTGTCGGTTCACTCAATGTCCCATTAGACACAATCGTGAATCAGTGCGTGACAACATTCTGCACTGATGCTGCCAAGAATATTCTAAATGTATCTTGCAGGTTATACTGGCACTAGCAATGAGTTGGAGAAAAGCTTAATCCAACCCCATAGTGTATATAGAAAGTTCACTTGGACTGGAGGAACGCTTAATCCAGAGATTTCACTTTCCAAGCTGTGTTTGGCATCTTAAGGCCTTGCAAAAGAAGTATACAACCAATGGACAAGACAAAATAAAGGTAGACCAGGGGTCAGATTCACGAAGCAGTTACACAAGCACTTATGAACCTGTACATCTCATCTCAATCTTTGGCGGCTTTGTTTACAAATATTAAACAGTTAATGAGCTCTGAAGCACCTGGAGGCTGTTTATAACAATAACAACAGTTGATTGGGAGGTTTTCATGCTTGTAAGATGTTTATTAAATGTAACCAAAGCCGTCAAAGATTGAGGACAGATATACAGGTTCGTAAGTGCTTGCATAATGGCTTCGTGAATCTAGTCTCAGACCTCTACCCATTAAGTATTGCACCTGCTTTATTTTGTAATGAATAAACATCTTGTGTGTATTTTTTTACATTAAAGATTTGAAAAATTTTCATACATGACAATTATTAAAATTTACAACATAAAAACATAAATAGTTTCAATTATTTGCTATTTAATTATTTATAATTTTTTGTTTACATATGTGGGTACAGAAGTGAGAGATTCTGACTCCTATTAGCAAGCTGAAAGCTTTTCCCTCCCATAGATCATGGTAAGCCTTACCCACTAGTTGCCCTGGAACACAACCTGCCAAATAGTTAAGAACCAGGTCCTCAATAACTGCTGGGTGAACAGTGGCAAACAGTTATGGACTAGCACCAGTTAATCCTCCTTGGTCTGGGATTGAACCTAGATGAAAATCACTCATAAGACTATCACTATACCACCAGGGGCTGGTAAAGGTCTGAAGTATACAAAACAGCTTCACAAACAAACAAGATCTAACCTGTATATCAGTTCCTACTACAACCCCCTTATTATTCTAATTAATAATTATTTATATAAAATATATACAATGTTATATTACATGGTAAAGTACACTCAATTGCTTATAAGGCTGCTAATCATGCAGCTGCCCATACCAATTGTGCTCAATGTCCTCTAATGTTGTTTCCCTCTACTTTCTTGTGTTAAAATATGATTGATACATAATCGGTTGCCTTCCTTATACATTCTCTCGCCCTCACCTTCCAGACATTCAGCTGTTAATTCCTCAGATCCCTTTCCTCAGGACTTAATTTTAAACTAGTGCATAAAATTCTTGCCTACAATGCAGAAAAATATATATATCCTTTGTAATTTATCTTCAGTCTCCTTCATGCCGCCGTCATTCGGTAACATCACACCATCGTGAAGCATCTTATTCTTAACATCACTTTATTTTTAATATCATTTACACCTTTTCTCTTTACACTTTCATTTTACCTATTCTTGCCAACAAACAAAGTTTTATCTGCTGATAATGAATAATATCTTGGATCCTCCATTTTCTATTCTCTCCCATCTCTACCTCGGGTCCTCCCATCCTCTATACTTAGTCTAGGTCTCAGGACCAGGACTAGCTTTTCATATTGCACTACCCAGAAAAGACAAAATATAAACTTACTGCAGCCACAGGAACCAAAATTTCAACAAAGAGGCCAGCCAGGGCATGTTTGATGTCTTTGTCTCGAACCTCCAGGAAGTACTGTGCACATTCTTGCATAAATTGGAATGATGCTTCAAACTCTTCAATAGGGACCATCTGTTGGGATAAAATGTAAACAAATAGAGAACATTGCCATTTAAGAACATAAGAACATAAGAATAGAGGTAACTGCAGAAGGCCAATTGACCCATACAAGGCAGCTCCTATTTATATCCACCCAATCTCATTCATATACATGTCCAAGCCATGCTTGAAACAATCAAGGGGAACCCCACTTCTATTATATTACGCGGTAACTGGTTCCACAAATCAACAACCCTATTACCGAACCAGTATTCACCCAGGTCTTTCCTATATCTAAACTTATCCAATTTACACCTATTGTTTTGTGTTCTGTCTTGTGTTGATACTTTTAATACCCTATTTACTGGAGACTTACTAAACCCCAAAAAATACCCAGGGATTCTAAGTACAGTTAGTCTACAACAAAAGAAATTGAAAAAATATTTACATGATTTGATCTTGAGCGACGTAAAATGCCTTAGTCAAGGAAAAACAACACCATGACCAATAGATAGAAAGGCCTACAAGTTTAAGTATTTGGAATGTGAATTTAGAATAACATACATGACCTAAAATTAAACAATAAAATAAGTAGTATTTGTAGCTGATTGATGTCAAAACTTGAAACTATGGCTTCTAAAGGATTAAAATGCTGTTTTCTCAACAGCTCATTGGTTGC